AACCTCAGAATGAGGTTAAAAATGGGTATACAGGACTGAGTCTTAAAGCGTTGGCAGGATGGACTTGCCAGGACTGGGGTTTTCAAATTACGGAAAAGTCTTTATCATATTAATTAAATGCTCTATATTTAAAGGCTTTTAAAACAACTTTTATCTTTACTCAGAAGTTTGCCCAAGGCTCTGGAGAAGCAAACCACCAAAGTGTCTCTTCCCAAGTCCACTAGACTTTGAATGCAGTAGCTAACTAACTACCACCCAGGGTTTTAATTGTTGGCCTGAAGTCGTATTAGACTAAATGTGGAAGAGGATTCTTAAGGTAGCAGCTCAGGTACTGCAAATATGAGGGTGATGTAGGCTCAGAGGAAGAAATGGTTGTATCTGTGGTAAAAAAAGAATTAGAATTTTTCCATCAGATGAAGGAACTGAGGATACAACTAATTTTCCATAATTATATCCAATTTGAAGCTTGCAAATAACGTTTATTTGCCAGAACTCCCTATGCTTTTGCTTTATAAATATTTGCTTTTAGTTTCTTGTAATTTGTCATGGAGAAAAGGCAAATTTGTTGTGCAAGATAATATGATTGCATTGAATATGTATTGGAACTCGAGTTCCATGGAAGTTATTTTCTGCTTCTGCCTCAGGTCCGGTCCATTTTTTAAGATGCTAATATCTCTCTCTTCCTCATCTAAAACCTAATTCCAAAGGATGGCATGATGAGACTCTTAGGATAGCTCTTGAACTGTTAAATCAGAGAGCTGATGCAAAGAGAAAGCATCTCAGCCATGTTTCAACTTGTTGTGCTTGTTTTCTGGCTCCCTTCTAACCAGAAAAAGAGGAAAGGAGATTTCAGACTGGTTTTCTTTCATGGCAGAGTGCAGCTCCAGACAATTTTCCAGTCCCAGCTGAACTAGTGCTAAGGACTCTGTGCTTTGAAATAGAACGTCTGATTAGAAATAGTTGGGGTTTTTTTTCCTCTCTTCATGAGTCAGACAAAGATTTCAACAACACACAGACTGGTTCATATTAAATCACTGTTTACCACATCTGTTAATGTAATAGCACCTACGTGCTGTATTTAAAATTTAATTAGAGGTGGGCCATGTCAAAATCATCAGAAGAGATTGGATAACCGCACCCAGCGTACTGATACCAAAACATAATGCTTACCAGGATCCCACTTAAGTGACATTTTCATGAGACTTTTGGGAGGGATACTCTTCATCTGCTTTAAAGACATGATAACTTGCATATATAGCTTTCCTGATTACTGCACTTACTGGTTGTGACACCATGCAAACCTTCATCATCTTCCTATAGGAAATCTTTCAACACTTCACAGTCACCTGTTTTGTTATCTGTTGACTCAGTGGCATTTAAAAAAGTTGCTTAGGTTCAGAGTTAAGTGCATGGGTGTTTGGAATTGTGTTCTGAAGTTTTGCCCCCCTGTTTCCAGATACTTCTGTTACTTATTTCATTAGCAGGTGCAAAACCAAATGGTCTTATGCATTCATGCACAAATTAGGATACACAGGTAGATGATGCAAATTGAACATATCTCTTATGTTTTGTTTGAATTACTTCAAAAAAATCTCGATTAAATATCTCCATTCTTTTTGTTACAGCCTGGTGTATCACACATAGCAATCCTGTGGCAGACAGGCGTGAAAAATAGCATTATTAAATACTTCTTGTGTTTTTACAGTTGTATCAGCACTTTTGTAACTGAAACAGTGAGATATTCATAAGATGTAATGGACTTACAAATTATGTGGTGCCAATGCTTAGACTTGAAACATGGGCCATAAAATCTGGTAGTAAACACCTGAGAATACTGCTGGGAAGAGTTTCCTTCCTTTCTTGGAAACAGTTTATTCTCAGTGTCAGTACTACAAGGAAATTATAAAGAAAATTTATTTTCTTCCCACTGAAATCCTTGAAGATTGGACTTCAGTCCTGCCTCTTAGTTATTTTTGTGAATATCTGTACTAGGTATAATTTATTCTTAACCCATAGGAAGTATGCACTAACAATTTAGTATTTTTAAATTGTTTAAAAGCTCCAAAGGACTTTGTGGAAATCTTTTGTTAAATCCTTCAGGAAACAAATATTTTGAAAAACTTCTATGAATTCTCCAGGGCGTTTAATAATAGAGATCTTAGCTGTCTCTTGGAAGTGGGAGTAGGCAAAGCAGGCAAAAGAGGGCATGCTAGTCATGGTTATATCTATAAAAAGCAGTTTAAGAGACCAAGGTTTGTGTCTTAGTTCTTGAATAACAAAGGAGCTAAGCTAAATCTGCCGGCTCAACAACGAGGAAGCTTGTTTAAAACTTTTCTAGTCCAAAGCAGTGATGCAGCAGACATGGCTGTTAATGGATTGCTGTCATGTAACCAGATAATTTAAACTTCCATTAATAATTCAATATTTTAAAATGGAAATATTTGTGTCCTTTGTTGCACTGTTCTGCCAGTGTAGCTAGGTATTTTATTTTAATTTACTTTCTTCAAAATATATTAATGCAAAGAAAGCTCCATACCCTGGAGAAAAGCCAATATTTGTCAAACATGGCAACTACTAAAAAAAAGTTACTGTAAACTGTAAAACCATATTGTCTTTTTGTTCCACAGATGAGGAGACACTCCTGCTTCATTTTTTTGTTCTGTGCAATATTTTTGCCCAGAATCCTTGGTTTTCCACAGACAAATACCTCAATTGATTGTGATTCTCTGTTACCAAACTATGAAGCTGAACCACAGACATCTGTACCACCATATCTTATTGCTGTATCTTTTGATAACTTTGAGCCAGGAAATGAAATTCAAGGTAAATAATCTGAATGACATAAAATCTTGATCTGTGTCTCTCAGAAATACCAATCTTCACCAAAATTCCCATTTCCCTCTCAGTCTAGTTAAATTTATTTTTTAATTTCAATCTCATTTATCTATACCTGAGATATTAATATTTTGAAATGTTTTCTATATGTATGTATTTGTATTGCATTTGTATAACTGAAAATATATTCACTTTTTTTTTCTTTTGCCTATCTAATAAATATGCTTCATGCTCTAATTTTTGTGACAAAATTAAAATTAAATGGAACAGCTGAGTTAGACTAATAATTAGTTGCTCTTTGTAGTTTAGTTGCTCTTACAATAATTAGTTGCTCTTTGCTTTTGTATTTGAGTAACTGCTGTTGTATCAGGCTCTGTAATACAAAAGGATCCTACTCATTAGGTGTTCACATGTTGTCATCTTACAGGAAAATAAAAGTTCAGGATGCAGTATAAGACAACTCAAGAGTGAGACATTTTGAGTCATCCTTAGAGTTGCATCCCAGATTTTATCACATTGCAGGAGGTGGAGCTACTGTGGCTTAAGCCACCTTTTTATCTTCTTAATCCAAAATTGCTTTCTGGATGGAACACCTTGAAGGCCTCGTTTCTCGACACTGTGATGCCATCTCATGGTGCTGTCACACTTTAAGTAGCTTATTCTTATTAAATAGCTTATTATCACTTAAGCTAAGTTTACTTAGCTTAAGTGAATGCTTATTTTTCTAGCCATGTGCTAGAAGAAACATGGAGGTGGAAGTGAGTTGTAACCAACCACACGTGCCTTGCTGTATCTCTATAGCTGCCATTCTTGGAAAAACATGTGTGAATAACTCCTTCAAAGGGCCTGGGAAGGCTGCTTGATTACTGAGAGCTATTTAAAACAGCATTGCCAGCAAAATCGTGCATGGATTTAAGTGTATGCAGACTGTTGTGTGAGGTTATATGGGATTTACCATGACAAAAACATTGAATCCCAGATGTTATAACCTTGCCTTTTTTTTTTTTTTCCTTTTTTTCTAACCATATTTTTCTTGCTTTAGTACTAGTTTTCAAATTATAAGTATCCAGTACCTGATCTCAGGGAGCTGCTTTAGGTTGCCCTTCCATTGAGTACATTGCAGTTTCAGCTTTGGCATGCCATGTGCCAGCACTCTTAGAGTTGCATCTGTGACTTATTTCACACTGCATTCAAGTGTTGGATGTCATCCCTCCTGTGAAACCTGCAAAAAGTTAGTGAATTAGGACTGAAAGTTGATTACAAATTGGAAGGCTAATTATGCAGGTGTTTGGAAATGTTAAATTGTCAAGGTATGACTGGTTCTTTCATTGCCTTCTGTGTCATTTCCAGTTTAGCTTTCCTTATTTTTGAGGACTTCATATACCATTGGGCATAAGCCATTATTCTGATTTTATTTACAAAAGTGCCTAATATTGGCATTAGCAGAGAAAGTTTACAATAGATCGTAACAAAATTGATTATGCCTCTTGAAATTTAAGTTCAATTTGGATATACACAAAACTCGAAACTGCTCTCCTCCTTATTTTTCCGAGCTCCTTCAGTAACAGAACTTGAGTGAAATTGAGCAGTTTATAATTATTAATTTTTCATATTTAATATAGAACATGAGAGCCAAACTGTCTAGTTTCTGTTTTTCCAGTTGTAGCACATTAAAAAAAATGGTTCTGTAGTTCAGCCTCAGGCAGAAGAAGTCAGTCTTTTCTTTTGAAACACAGGTAAAAAGAAATGCAATTCTGTTTCTCCTGTAGCTATTTTGACTTCATAGGCCATTAGACAGAAAATAAATAACCTTTTGGTCAGCAGGGCCATTAGCCAATATTCTTGGGAATGCAAATGAGATTTTATAAGAAAGGGGTAGTCATTTGGTACAGCAGAATTACTTTAAAAATTGTCTATAAATTATGTATTTCCTGTTACTTTACACAGAATTGCTTCTCCAAATTTATTCCTTTTCCTTTATTTTCATTCTCTTGATAAGTAGTAAAAACTGTAATAAATTCCAACATTTAAAAATTTTAAAAGGTTTTAAGTAATTTCTCTACATGCAGTCTTGTGCTTTGGAGTGAGGGAAATTAGTTGTTAAACATTTAAGAGGTTTTAGTTGTGTATGAAACTTAAATTTCTCAACATGTCTGTTTTCACAGTGACTCTAGAAGCGCTTAAAGGTGTTGGTTTTAAAGGATTTAATCTACAAGCTCGAGAAATAGAAGGAGATGTTCCTGTTGGTACTTTTAAAATTACAGATCCAAACACTAAAGGCTTGGGATGTCATAATGTGACGGTATGTGTTCAGTCTTTGGAATACTTGCTTAAGCTTGGTTTCCTTTTAAATAGATGGCAAAGTTATTTCATCAGTAGAGTTTAAAAATTTAGACTTTCTCAAGAAATAAATGTGTCTTCTATATGTAATAGAAATCTAATGTAAAAGCTACCTGGCACTTTTTAGGAGGTTATCGGTGTGACCTGTTGTAGTAGAGACATTTCCCCTAATAATATAGGTGAAAGTCACATTTGCCTCATATATAATTATATGTATTTCTTTTTAATTGCAGAATTCAGCAGTAAGTCATGCAAATTCAGATGTGAAGCAGAAAGTTACAACAACATGGATCGCTCCACGTGATGTCAGAGATCTTCAATTTATGTAAAAAATTACTTTTTCTTTTTCTTGAAATTTTATTTATTTCTATGGATTATTGTGACATGGATCTGTGCTGCTGTTTCTGATGTTCTTGTCTTGCCACAACCATGGGTTTTTTTCATAGTTTGTCATAGCTTCCCACTGTGCCCATTAAATAACAAGATTTCCATTTCAAGATGTATTTATGAAATGTTAAACACTGTCCTACAGATGATAATATATGTAAATAATTCCATTAAGCACGGTGTTATCAATGGATCTTTGAATAACCAGTGTTTACACTTTGACCTCTTTAATTACAAGAGCAATAATACGAATGTAACTAGTTCCCTGAATAAGTGAAGCTCAGACTCTTGAATTATATTTTTTTTTATTTTGAGGAGCAGAAGTATAGTAGTTTGATGTAAATGCTTGTAAGATAAATTTAAAAATAAGTTTATGACCCATGAACTAACTGCTGAAAACATGAGAAGACAAATTTATCCTACGTTTAATGCTACTTCTGTTGCATATATAAAGATTGTAAAAATATCACCTGGTCTAACAAAATGCAATCTTGATGTAATTGGAAAATACCTAAGTATTTGATAGCTTGATACTGTTTGAAGTGTAGATTTATGATAGGGGCACCTTGGCCTTCCTTTACTAACTCTTGAGGAATACAAAAAGGAGCAAAAAGTTAAAAACACGATCACTTCTACGCATTAATGCCATGAAAATCAGATCACCATCACAGATATAGATTGTTGGAGAAGGAAAGAGGTATGGCAGTTTTTGTGGACATTTCAGCTGATACTCCCCACTGGAGTCATTGCTTCTTCAGATAGTGTCCATTCCACTTCTGCTCCTTTTCCTCATCTATTTCATTTATCTTCAAAATTATGTTTGATTATAAAACAGTAACTGGAAAAGTGTTCTGAAAAATTATGATGTTATTTTCAAAATTGTACTGTATATCCTTAAAATCCAAATAAAGTGGATTTTCTTGGGGGAGGGAGGGGGGAGAAGGAGAGTTTATTGGTATTTTATACTGAAATATTTTGATGGAAAAATAATTATTATTTGGTTTTCTTTCCAGTGCAACTGTTGTACAAGATCTAGAGAAATTTTGGGTTGGAATTCAAAGCAAAACTCTCACACCTACGCATTCTGAGTCAGTTAATGGGACAGGAAAAAGTAAAAGGAGGGTATGTTTTGAGTGCATTTTCATACTAGAAATTAGTACAGTAAATTAAAATATGTTAGACTTGATACAAGACATACATTTTGCCATGTATTTTTTAACTAAGATGGCCAAAATCATTTGATATTTTTAACACTATCGATTTAACTGCCTATCCTCTTACTAAACTAATGAAAAAATGAAATAAATATTATTTTCCTCCCACAGAAATAAGGAAACTAATAATCTAGTTATCAAAACAATCTATAGCATAAAGACAAATAAAAGAAAATTAGTCATAAGGAGAACTCTGCCGTACATCCGGTGTATTGTGCTGTTCTTAACTGCTTCCCCTGTTCCTGAGAACTACAGCTGTGTAGCACATTCTTAGAAATTATTTTGTTTATTTTGGGGGCAAGAATTATGCTTATATGAAACATCTTAAACATGATGGCATCTAAAGTAAAGAAAGGCTGTTCAAATCTACCCTATTGGTTCTTGACCATAGAAACACTGATTTACATCGCCTTGTGATCTAACCAAGAGTGAAGCCTTTTGTCTCTCACTTCACCAAATGTATTTCCTGTTTCCTATAATAAGCTGCTTTTTTTTTCCCCAGTAAAAAATTTGTAAATGTTTTCTCATTTTTTTTCACAGCTTATGATAGAAGTGGAATGTAGCAAGGTAAGAGCAATTTTTCTTCAATTTCCCAATTTTCAGTTACCTCAGTTTTAGAATTCCTCTCCTGCTGTTTGAATTGTTCCATAGTTGTAGCACAAAGATTATATTGTACCATTCAAATTACTTTCCTAGCTAGATCTCCTTTATGCTTACATTTTTGTATGCAGTTTTGAAGGTATTTTTATTTTAAATTAGTTAATGTCAGTTCTGAGATCAGATTGTTACAATGTATAAGGTATTGTAAGCAATGAGACACTTCTTCACTCAGACCATGGATGTGAATTCAGTTGGTTACTTGTTTAAAATAATTTGGTATTTATACACCAGCCAATAAACAGTAACCGGAATTTGTACTTTCTTACAGCGTGGAGGGACTTATACACCACAAGGCCGATGCATCATGGTAAATATTGTTTCTTCAGAGACACTGACAAACTGCTAATTGCCCAGATCTAGTCAAAAGCTGCTTCTTTAGTCACATCTTTATCCTTCTTGTCACTCTATTTATTTTTCTCTTTGACAATTCATCTTAGTTGATTAAAATCCCAAACTTTCTAAATGGTTGACAGCCTTGTTACGATTTCCTCCTGCAGATTCTCTCTAGCTGATCTGGAGTAACTTTCTAATAGAGGTTTTCTTTTTTCTGTCTTCATTTTTAGTCATAGTGTTTGCTTGGTTTTCAAAATCGCTTATTTCAACAGATCTGAAACATTGCCTTTTGCACATCATGATCTAGATATAAAATTTAACTATTTGATTATTTTTTTTCTGAAAATCACTTTCAACTCGAAGAAGCCTCTTTTTTTTCTTTCCTTCCTCACAGAAAATATGCCCTACATTTTGTAGTGTCTAGTGATTACATAGTCATATCAGTGAAAAGTTTTCATCAAATTTTAATGATCCTGACAGTGTAGGTCTCCTCAGTGATGGACATCAGGTGTATGGGGCCAGATAAAAAATGGTGCAAGCAGCAGAATTATGTCAATTTATACCAGCTGTTCTGGTATAGGTTTGATTATTTGGCTTTAAAGATCTCTGAAATAATTTTAATAATATCAGCTGGTGGAATGAAGAGACACACACTGTGTGTTCTTCCTTTTTCCACCAAGTAGATCTTTCTTTCCTGAAAAACTTATATATCAAAATCAATTTTCTACAAAATGCTAAATAGTATTTTGGTTTCTTTACAGGTTGGACCTTCTGGTTCCTCTCAGAGCAGCTCTTCAGGTAGTCAGGTAAGAGTCCTAACTTCCAGCATTTGTACATTTTCCTTTAGTGACCTTGAACAACTGAAGTTCTGTAACTACAGAGTACTGAGGTGATTCAAGACTGTACTGGAATTTCATCTCTGCTGGTTGATGCAGAATGCTGGAGCTATTCATCCAGTAAAGTGTATGTTCAGTACCTGGACTAGATTCAACTACCTACACTGTGTTGAACTCAACAGCTTGATGTCAGTATTCTTACCTACAAGATGTGTCACCACCTCTCCTTTCACACATTCAGCCTTTTTATCAAGCATTAACTTGACTCTTTTTAAGGAAAAAAGAGATTCCTTCCATCTTCCTAGAGGATTCATATCTGTGCGTGCACATGTGCAGCAAACACAGTCACAAATCATTTATTTTATAGCTTTAGAGACATCTGGCGAAATGGAAATGAGATATTAAATTATTTGAGGCATTTTTCTTATTTCTATTTATTTTAATAATTAAAATAAAAGGACTAATTATACTTGTGTTTCACTTTCTTCTCCAGAAAAATTTGCAAAATTTATCCAAACTTCACCAGATATGCATGCATCTATTAAAGCTCCAGAATATCTCTATCAGTTTTAACACTGGATTATATTTCAGTTGAAAATTTTGGCATTTCACTGTCTAGTTAGCCTTTTAAAACTTCTGGGGTATTTATGTCTGCATTCTCACTGATCGCTTTCACTTCTTTAATCACAGAAAAGTATACTTGGTTCTTAGTTAATTATCTCCACTATCATAATGTGCCTATTTGCACTTGAACTGTCAGATGCTTCCTGGTATGCCTCCAGTTTCTTGAACTGAGCTTCTCAAGGATATATTTCTTACTTCTTATTAGTGATTATATTTATTAGTGAATTATCTCGTAATATTCCATTGGTTCATTCTTCATTACTTGTAAGTGGAATTACCATACTCTTAGAAATACCAATTATTTTGTTGTCTACACCAAATACTGATTTTCTTCATTGTATTTCTTCACTGTATTATACATACTTTTTTCTAGGAGTTGAGTTTCTCTTATTGTTACATAACTACTTGAAGTTATTAATCTTTTCTAAAATACAGACCACTTAGTAAAAGAACTTGTGCATTTTGAAAGGTTACATGACCAATTACAATTATATGAAATCCCGATGATGATTAATGTGTTGTACTAAATTAGAATTGTTACACCCAGTTGCCAATGGACTGGTAATCCCTGTCCTTGCTTATCCCATATTTGCACATACACATTGTCAGTTGCACAGCTTTTCATGCCATAAACAGCAGGCCTTCTTTTTTTCCTTTTCTTTCTTTCTGCCCCTCCTCCCCCTTTTTTTTTTACATGGAAATAATTGACTTCTGTTTTTATTTCAGAGAGGAGGAGTAGTCTACACAATAAGCAGGAGTGGATGTGGTCCTGTAAGTGCTTTTCTTATGTTTACTTTTTTGTCCTCAATATAACTATATTTATAGTAACTCCTAGCCTTCAATTGCATCATTTATATGAGTGTTTATGTTGCAAATAGATAATAGTGATAATAATGAAGAGAGAGCTAAAAGATTAATTTTACAATTTATTCAATGGTATGAAGTAGTTGGCAAACATCTTAAAAAAGTTAAATAGAAACATAGATTATAGAATTGTGAAAAAAAGGACTGGAAGGGTTTATCTGTTGCACTTATATTGCACTCATAATACAAGTTGTCTATTCTCCCCTTCTACCCAAGACATGACTGGTGTGAATTTGTCTGCATGTTCTATGTTGTTCTTCCTCCCAGAAGTAATCACTCAGATATCTAAAATAACTAAGGCTACTTGAGTTTTTCTTTCTTTCAGGCAGCAGGGATAATTGTGACGTTATCAATCCTAGACAGGTTAAGCCAGTCATTCAGAAAGAGGTGAAAGATGCATGAGTGCTGTAATGTGGTGCTGAACAGAAGCATTTTTATCAAGATGCTGACTGATTGTATGGACTAAAATATTTTCAGACTTATGTCACGTGTAATTATTTTGATTCTCTTTCTGCAAGATAAGATTTTTATTTTTTAATGCAAAATTAATTTGTTCAAACATTTACTTAATATAAAAATGAGAAAAAACTTGAAAGGTAGATGGAATGGTCAAGCTTACTCATTCAGTGTCAATGACAGAGTTTTTGCTTGTTTTTCATAGGGTAGCAAGTAAACAAAAATAAGATAGTCTTGTAGTTCTCTTGCTAAGCACTATCAGTTGCCTCTTCAAACTAGAAAAATAGGGATGACTCAGCACCAACAAAGACAATGTTTCCAAAACCGTAAAACATTCATGTCATCAGCACTTGTAAAATGTAAAATTCAAAACAATGTGTATTGGATTTTTGGAAAGAAGAACAAAATTACAGTTTTGAGAGAGACTACTGATTGTATTAATAATAGTAAGTGAGATTTACTTTAAAATAGGAACTATTTATGCTGGTCCGTGATATTTTATATTTGGTTGATGGTAAATCCTAATTTTTACATGTATGGGTATGTACATATTACATACAAAAGATGTTTTAATTAAAAGCATTATGTTAAACCTTTATAATTTATTTCTATTAAAATAATATCTTCGCAGTCTCTGCTTTAATGCATTTCCTGAGTACCACTAGATAATCACTAATGTACAGGAGGCTAATGTGCCTGGCACTTACGGCCATACATGGGTGTTTACACAGTAATAGTGGGGAGTACAAGACTATATCATCTATTCTTTACGTGTTCTACATAAGGATAAGTCAGAATTGAGGGTGTCTGAAATATGTCTTTGTTCTTAAGCAATTACAGAAAAGAAATAACTGGTTTCATTTTTTTCTTAGGGAGGTGCTGCTGATGCATATAGCCAACACGCCTGCAGAGATGTAAGCTGGTTATATATGTATTTGCTGATTGTCTACTCCTATGCTTCTTAACTCATCTCCTTGTTGTAAATAGCATTTGATTCAATTCTGCAGAGGTATATTATTCTTCCCTACATATATTAAGGGGAACGGTGGGTGATAGTCTGAGGTATTATTCTGAGATTAAAAACCAAAATTAAAAGGCATTACATTGTCACTTCCTCAAAGTGTAATCACTTATCTTATAGTGGCTACTCATCACTTACTATAAATGCTTAATTTGTTAGCCTATTAAAATGTCAGAATTCTTACCGCATAATGCTTTTTATCTGTTAGAGTAATTGTCTTTTGATACTGCATATTGTGCAATATTATTTGGGTTGTTTTACAATCTTTGTGCGTTAAACCAATAATTCTTTAATTAGTAGAGAAAATTCTATTGTTATTTATTTAATTTTCACCTGAAAACAGATTTATTTTAAAATCTAACATATGTGCCATTTTTAAAATCATGAAAGCAAGTAAAAAAATCATGTGCTTAACTTTAAATACATCATTAGTTATATTAATTCCTACATATTAAACATATTTAGTGTTTGTTTAATATGTAAATGTAAACTGTATTTGTGATACAGCAACATTAATCTTATGACTATAGTAGAATGTTTGAAATTTTTTACTTCAGTTACCTTTAAGCAGCTTCAGTATATTTTAGTATTGCTGTAGATTTGTCTAGATGAAATCAGTTTGATTTGAAGTGTACATCCTCTAGGGAAAAAAGTGATGACTTCTAGATATAATTATTGTACAAATAAATACCTGATTTATATTTTGATTTCAGAGTGCATCCTCATCTGGTAGTGGTCTTACCTATGGTCAGGTAACTATGTGCTTTCCAAGATATTTTCAGTTTCCTATGCTATTCAGAAACTAAGCAGTTATGCCCAGATTTTATGAAACAATAATAAAATTCATGGAAGGGGATAAAGGAGGACTGTCTTCAAATGTTTAAATAATAATCCTATCTGGAAATAACTTCAGTGGATGAGTTATGTTTAGTGTATGTTGTAATATCAACTTTGTTAGAAGTTCTTCTGTTTTGCACAGAAACTAAATTATATTTATTCTGTAAATGAACACTAGTAACTTTTATTATGATTTTCCAAAATTCAGTGCTTTCTTTGATAGTTACTAAGAATTTAAAGTATTTTTTGTGGTTTTTGCCTATGCAATTGTACATATGGGTTGATGAAATGGAAAACATCACTGCACGTTATTTTATGCTTCATTTAAAACATTTCTATTCTTATGGTGCAGCCTATTTATTCGAGTTTATATTTCAACGGTAAGGTTTTTCATTTTGGGGGATGGGTCCTGGAGTATGGGTTGGTTTATTTTTTGATGAAATTAGAAGAGATTAATTATTCTTTTCTATCAACAGTTTCCTTTTATTATAGAAAATACCCAATTTGATGTTAGGTGAAACATTTGCAGCTTTTACACAGTGCAGTGTGAAACCAAGGGTTTGTAGAAAAAAAACAAAAAACAACAACCAGTTGATTTATTTCAGTTGTTTAATTATTAATTGCCGGTACACTAATATTTTTCTTCAGAATTTTGTTCTGTATGGCACTTTGGGGTAACAGCATTAGCTATAATGATCTTGTAGAAAATTGTGCTGTAGTTAATTTGTCATACATTTACCTAAGCAAAAAATGTATTCTGTATTCTTTACAGTCTGTCGCTTCAAGCAGTTCAGATTCCAGTAAGAAGGTAGGCACTCCTTTTCCTAAGAAAAAGTTCTTAGAGTTGTAACTTGGCATGATGCCTTTTATTTCAGTGGTATTACAGTTCCTTTTAGCAGTTAAGACTTTTTCAAAGTTTTAATCCGGATTGATTCATATGGTTTGAATCAGTTTGGTTCTTGGATGCCTTATACTAACTAGCTGTGCTATGGTGGCTTTTCTTGATAGATGACTTAACTGCGTATAAAATAAAATTTCATACATGTTTATGGGGACTTGTTTTTAAAAAGTTAAGATAGTGATTGTGATGTAATTAAGACTCTTAAGGATATAGATTATGTAATTATTTTTCAGATGGGGCTGGAGAATGAGTGTGACTCAAAGCAAGTGAAATCAATAGATTTAATTTGATTCATGATATTTACATATTCCTCTCAGTTCAGTCCCCAGGAAGCACAGGGCTAATACTATAGTGTGTTCCATAAACACACAGTGTACCTGTTTATGTCCTCAAAGATGGGTTTTTTTCATTTTAGTTTACCATTGTTTTAAGAATTCAAAACATACTGATAGATTATTCTTTTTAATAACTTAGTTTTAAAAACTTAATTCTTCTCCTTATTCTGCTTATTTCATACTAGAATTCTTTACTTCTTACTACTGATAGCACCAACTCTTCTTTTCCTTTTTACACCACTGGATAACAAAACTGTTTTCACTTTAAAAAAAAAAAAGTTAAAGGAAAAAAAAAAAGCTTTTAATAAAAGAACATTAAATCCTAAAACAAAAGATACTACTATTTCATTTGGCTTTTTTTTTTTAATAAGGAACTCAATATTAAGCCTTCTTTTAGCATAATACTGAATAAAGAGAAAAGAAATTGATTGTCCAGTTTGGGGTGGAAAATTGAAGATCAAAAAGGATACATAGTGTATGGCACAATACATGAAATCCTGCTTCTGCTGCTGTAGCAATAGAGTCATTGTGTGACTGGGAGCAAGTCTTTTATCTCCTTATAATCTTATGCAAATCATGTATACATATATATTAATTATTCTTTGCTTGGTAATGTGCATTAAAAATTTTTATAAAGATAGTTTCTTTATAAAAGTGATCATCCATAGCATTATTATCAGACTTTGTAAATTTAGAGAATTCAGTATTCTTCAATTTCCTAACATATACTATTATTTAAATAAATTCTATGATGAGTAAACAGCTTTCTCTGATTTCTCTATAGGTGGTGGTCATTGCCAACAGCAACCCTTTTCCACCTGTGGTAAGCAGTTTTTCTCTACAACACTCAGAATTTTGACTCAAAAAGCTTTCAAATATCTACATGCTTAATTTGTAAGAAAGACTCCTGGTGTATGGAGACAACTCTTTGGCAGGCAGGGTTTACCCTATGTGCATAATTATCTTGAGGGAAAGCCAGTAGTAAGATATGATTCCATGACTGCTGTTAGTATTTGCAGAGAGACTGGATTAGCTGCAGATTCCAGGCCTCTCAATGCATACAGCCTCTGTGTTCCTGAATAGTTCTGATTTTCTGTTTCTATTGCAATGTCCTTTTGTAAAGTCACTTCAACTTTCTTTTTTAAACTATTATCTTTCCACTTTGCTTGCTTGGCACTGACAGAGTCAGCCAAAAGTAAGTTTAGCTTTAAGGTGGTTAAAGTGAGTTTCTATGATGTAACATTTGATACATACGTTTTTCTGATGTCTAGTTTCTAATCAAACATATTGTTGTTGTTCTAACCTAAATGAAGATTAAGATGTGTTTGTTCTATGCTATCTTTTCCTTGCTTTCACATTTGGTTGTGTATTGCATCCAAAAGATAGGGCCCTTTTTCTGCTGCAATTTTCTGTTGGTGCAAAATAATTAAAGATTGTTTTGTTTTATTTGCAGCGTCATACCTACCCTCAGGTAAGCATACTTTTTTCTTATGATTTGTAGAATAGTAGTATAGTTCTGACAGGATCAAACCAGTTGCCTCAGGATGGTGTTTGCTACCCTTTCACATTTGTCCCTCATGTCCCAAAGTTCAGCAAACAAATAGCTGGATCGGGAATTGAATTTGTATGTGGTGGTGTATGTCCAGTGCAGGTGACAGTGGGACAGGCTGGAGGGATGATGATGTCTTAGCTTCAGTCACTGCACTTGGCAAAGCCAAGCTGACTGGTAGTACAAAAAGGGTATAGCCTGTGCTCTCCTGCTCTCCAGATAAGCTGTAATAGAAGCAAATGCAAGTGTAGGAAATTACTTAGTAGGGTCAGGCTGCCTCTTAAATCTTTCAGAGCTGAGAATAAACTGGTTTAGTCTAAGTGTTAAGAATTTGATATTCAGTACATTAGATGTATGACTTTTCCCTTTATTCTACCAAGCAATATAGTACAACTTCGTATTTTCTATTTAACTGCATTGCATTTATACAAGTCAAATTAAATGTTCTTGTGGTTTTTTGGTTTTGTTTTTTTTCAGAGTTTGGGAAGTTCTGCTACTAGGATCATAATACAGGTAGACATTCTTTCTCCATTATATTTGAGTTTTAATCAAAGCCCTGTCCCAGTAAACTAAATAATGATTCATCTCTTTGGGAATAAATAAGTATGGATAATTTATGGTTACCTTAGACATCCACAAACTACAGTGGTGGAGTAGAATGTTTCTAGGTTAGAGAAAAGTGGATATCCTACTTGGTTGCTGATTAAAGACCAATGAAGCAGTTTCCTACAGCCATAAAATATTAAAAACTCTGCTTCTTCCATACTGCTCTCAAAATTTGCAAAATTTAACCATCTCAACCTGCTCAGGAAGGTAGATGGAATTCTAGAACTTAAGCTTGAATGTTATTTGATATTAAATCAAATATGCAGAGTTCCATGTTCATTTAAACAGTCTGGTTTTTAATGGAAACAACTAGTGCAGCATTATATTTTTTAAAATCCTGCTTAGTTAGTGCTAAGGTGAACTTTTGTTTGCTGTTGTATTAGTAACATTGCTTCTTGATAATGAGGCACTTGGAAAGTTGATTACAATCCAGACTCATTAAGAGCATAGTTGTATTATGAATATCAGGCATATTTTTTCTGAATCCTTTGCAATTTTAACCTACCTACCACTCTTCACGGTGTAGGCTTTCCTTCCTTCACATGTTAGTCCTTCGACTGTTACAACAAATTCTCACTTTCATTGAAATATCAGTAGTAGGTCACCCCAGCTGAAATTTGTCTTTTGAAAATCATTGCTTTCAAAATGTATAGCATTAGATTCTTCCATAACTAGTGATGAATGCTGGCAGAGAAAGGAATTAGATTTCCATGTTATTTCAATTCTGAATTTAAATGTATAATGCTTTGATTACACAGGTTAAATATTTACAATGCATATATATTAAAAACTCAAACTGAAGACCATTTGATTGCTCTCATTATCCATGTACTGCATGGGAATAGAAAGATTTTCTGCAGTGACTTTTCCTTTGGTTAAATTCTAACTGTGGCTTTTCCAGTTCCTGTTTTGACAAAGCCTTTGTTGAAAGTTTGTTGTGCTCATTCATGAAAAAATCAATCATAATATGAACATAAATGGCTATGGGTTTAATGGCAATTCGCCTGATTCATTTGAAGGGCAGAATTATTTAAATTCAGTTGAAATATGACAATATGACACTATGATGTATTATATGATGAATTTTCATTAAGAAAATGACATCAAGATGTATAAATACTTTTAGCACCTTATTTATGAAGGGTCTTTATATACGGAAGTATTGAACATTGTAGCATGTAGAGATGGCATAAATAAGGAACAGGCATAAGGAACTCTTTCTGGCTTTCAAACTTTCTAGTTGATATAAGGAGAGAGTTACTTCTTGACATGTCCTAATATGTAAGCAATTCCTCTTAAAAATAAATGACTGGTTTTTTTGTTCCTGAGTAGGGTGGACAAAGACAGCAAGGCAGCAGCAGCAGTAGTACTTATGTTCAGGTAAGTGAACTTAAAAAGCACTAGAAATATTCCTGTCAACTTCGCTAAAAGAGGGCCAGCATAAATTAGAAATAAATGATTTCCTGCATTTTAAAATGTATCTCACTGAGTGCAGATATTTGTATTTCTCTGATTTTTGTTCATAAAATTGTCATCTGCTACTGGTGTTCAACCAGTCACACATGGAAATACAATTATAAGCATTCCAAACAAAAATAGTTGAAGCGAAATAACTGTATTCCACTCAATGTGCCCTCTAAAAGGTGCATAAAAGTTATGGTACTGAGAGGAAGTTATTCTAGGCTAAGTATCACACCATAAATCCATACTGGTAGATTCAGACCCCACATATATTTCCGGAAGTTGTGAAGAATAGTTGCTTACCCATATCAAGAACAATGGAGAATCATGACTGCAGACCTATGTGCAATGTCATACAGGAGATAAAGCTACTTGTGTGAAAAACAAGTGTGTGAATTTAACAAATGCTAACAAAGTATGTTGCAGAGTGAAAAGTGAGAATAGCCATAGTATGAACTCAAGTATGAAGGTTCTTCAGATTTCCTCCACTTTGGGGGCCAGCGGTGGAGCCAAATGTCTGTCAATATTCTCTGTACCACTACAGGCAACCAGGAAAATGTTTAACAAGGGTAGGTATGACTTCTAGAGACCAAAGCCACAGGGAGGTCAGCACACAACATCACGAATACTCAACATGCATGTGGTTGGCAGTCTGTTTCAATTCATGGCATTTGCTGAGGAGGGCAAACTGCTGCATAGATGGTAGCGTACTGCTCTGTCTCCTTAGGCTCAGGAAGAAGCTCTTCCTTCTGGGGAAACCTTTGTGCAGCTGTATTTCCATAAACATTATGCTCTTTATAGAAGTCTCTTTGTCAAGGTTCTAATGATCTTCTCTTCTTTCAAAGGGCTCCCAAGGCAGCCAGTCCTATGGCCAGGTGAGACTTTTCTGCTGAAATGTACTGAGCTTTTCTGTAGGAGCCTGCCTGGGAAAGGGACTTTGGCGTTTGGTTGGGTTTTTCCCCTTCTTGGTGTTGCTGAGTGGTCCTTGATTTTGGTTCATACCAGTGAATTACTATGAAGGAAAGAGAATATAGTACAGAGGAACTTTTAGTGGAAATGGGCTTTTCTGTCGCAGCTGTGCCAAAAGTACAGCTTTGTTTGAAAATGAGTTTTTGCCTTTCTTAAAGGGCTACCAGCCTCAAGGTGGCAGTTCCTATGGCCAGGTAAGCATCAGTCAGTACACATTGATTGAGAAAATGGAGTGCCATGGCACTGCCAAAGCACTTAGCAGTCACTCAGGAGTTGAACTTTAAAGGACGTTTTCTCTGAAAGTGTCTATTCTCACACTCAAAATGTATCCACGTTTGTCTGGAATCCCCACACGTGCAATCATCATGCTCAGCATCATTGTGAGGGCCAGGAGGAAGCCCAGGCTCTTCACGCTGCCCAGCAGCCGAGCTTTAGAGTGTAGTTGCTTGCTTCTGCTAATGCAGGATGGATCCCTTACAAAAGGGAAGTAACTGAATGGTGTCCTTGTTGTAGGGTGGGCCAGGTTACTCGGGCAGCAGCAGTTCTTATGGCCAGGTAAGCCAACTGGATATCCTGTACCGAGTTCTTCACTGATCTCTCTGTGACCAGTATGACTGGCAGATTCTGGGAGCGATATTTCCTTTGGTAGTCTGTGTCTCAATTTGATTCATGGCTTTTGCTGAGAGGAGAGCAATCTGCTGCACAGATACTAGCATATAGTTGTCTCTAGGCTCCAAAAGAGGGGTTTTTTGAGAGGGAAACTCTTGTGCAGCTGTATTTCCATAAACGTTATGCTCTTTGTAGAAGCCTCCTTGTCAAGGCCCTAATGATTTTATCTTCTCTTCTTTCAAAGGGCTCCCAAGGCAGCCAGTCCTATGGCCAGGTGAGACTTTTCTGCTGAAATGTACTGAGCTTTTCTGTAGGAGCCTGCCTGGGAAATGGACTTTGGTGTTTAGTTGGGTTTTTTCCCCTTCTTGGTGTTGCTGAGTGTTCCTTGCTTTTGGTTCGTACCAGTGAATTACTGTGAAGGAAAAAAACACAGTACAGAGGAACTTTCAGTGGAAATGGGCTTTTCTGTCGCAGCTGTTCTAAGACTACAGCATTATTTATAAATGAGGTTTTGTCTTTCTTAAAGGGCTACCAGCCTCAAGGTGGCAGTTCCTATGGCCAGGTAAGCATCAGTCAGTATTTAGCACTTGAGAAAGTGGAGTGCCTGGCACTGCAAATGGTAGTAGATTTTACATGGGGTTTTTACAGTTTATATTGAGTTATAAAAAAAAAAAAAAAGGAAATAAATCTCTGAATTCCTTTGAAAATTTTTATTGTGAAAATGACAGTTGTCTTTTTAATGGATATCTGCAGGAAGCATCATTTTTCATTGCTACGTGATCTTTTCCATGGGTATGGAGGTTTAAAATTCATGGTAGAAATAGTCAGTTTGGTGCTGTTCCTGTTCCAGTTGATTTACATGACACATTTCTAGTCATTTCTTCACTGTCTCCTTTGTACTCAGTACAAACAGTGTTGAGGAGTTATAGAACACTGGCTCAGGTCCTCAGCTGAAGACATATTTTCTTAGAGTCTGCAGCTGATGAACATTTACCTTCCTTTACTGTTTCTATGTGAATTAAAGTGTCCCTAAGATAGCTATGAAGTTTTTGCCTCTATTTTCTCTCAGAGGAACAGAATTGTGCGACTGGGGGTCACCAAAAATACAAATATAGGAAATTAGTATTCACCTCCCATTAGCCATCTTAGCCTAGTGTTTGAGAAACACCAAGCAAAAGAAACAAAATAAGAAAATGTTGTATCCCTTCTGTGTCCTAGAAAGCCTTCATAAGACTAGAGTCTTGTCTAAGACAGTTGTACAACTACTCTATGATGGTAATATGAGAAATACAGTGTGATCAGCTATTCATCCAGAACAAGAAATATCAGAATAATTCTAGTTCAGCAGCAGAGTCTTATTCTGGGGGGTTTTTTCACACTAAGAGTAACTTGAGAAGCATATTGTTTCACCAATATGATAATTATGAATGAATAATTCCTTTCTTACAGGGCTACCAGCCTCAAGGGAGCAGTTCCTATGGCCAGGTAAGCATCAGTCAGTCACCAGTCTACCAGATGCTAGCGTATTGTTTTGCCTCCTTAGGCTCAGGAAGAGGCTTTTTCTGGGAGGGACACCCTTGAGTAGCTATTTTCCCATAAACGTTATGCTCTTTGTAGAACCTTCCTTGTCAAGGTCCTAATGATCTTCTCTTTTTTTTAAAGGGCTCCCAAGGCAGCCAGTCCTATGGCCAGGTGAGACTTTTCTGCTGAAATGCACTGAGCTTTTCTGTAGGAGCCTGCCTGGGAAATGGGTTCTAGTTGGGTTTTTTCCCCTTCTTGGTGTTGCTGAGTGGTCCTTGATTTTGGTTTGTACCAGTGAATTACTGTGAAGGAAAGAGAATATAGTACAGAGGAACTTTTAGTGGAAATGGGCTTTTCTGTCGCAGCTGTGCCAAAAGTACAGCTGTGTTTGAAAATGAGCTTTTTTGCCTTTCTTAAAGGGCTACCAGCCTCAAGGTGGCAGTTCCTATGGCCAGGTAAGCATCAGTCAGTACACATTGATTGAGAAAATGGAGTGCCATGGCACTGCCAAAGCACTTAGCAGTCACTCAGGAGTTGGACTTTAAAGGACATTTTCTCTGAAAGTGTCTATTCTCACACTCAAAATGTATCCACGTTTGTCTGGAATCCCCACACGTGCAATCATCATGCTCAGCATCATTGTGAGGGCCAGGAGGAAGTCCAGGCTCTTCACGCTGCCCAGCAGCCGAGCTTTAGAGTGTAGTTGCTTGCTTCTGCTAATGCAGGATGGATCTCTTACAAAAGGGAAGTAACTGAATGGTGTCCTTGTTGTAGGGTGGGCCAGGTTACTCGGGCAGCAGCAGTTCTTATGGCCAGGTAAGCCAACTGGATATCCTGTACCGAGTTCTTCACTGATCTCTCTGTGACCAGTATGACTGGCAGATTTTTGGGAGTGGTATTTTATTTGGCAGTATCTGTCTCGTTTCAATTCATGGCCTTTGCTGAGAGAAGAGCAGTCTGCTGCGCAGATGGCAGCCTACTGCTCTGTCTCCTTAGGCTCAGGAAGAAGCTCTTCCTTCTGGGGAAACCTTTGTGCAGCTGTATTTCCATAAACATTATGCTCTTTATAGAAGTCTCTTTGTCAAGGTTCTAATGATCTTCTCTTCTTTCAAAGGGCTCCCAAGGCAGCCAGTCCTATGGCCAGGTGAGACTTTTCTGCTGAAATGTACTGAGCTTTTCTGTAGGAGCCTGCCTGGGAAAGGGACTTTGGCGTTTGGTTGGGTTTTTCCCCTTCTTGGTGTTGCTGAGTGGTCCTTGATTTTGGTTCATACCAGTGAATTACTATGAAGGAAAGAGAATATAGTACAGAGGAACTTTTAGTGGAAATGGGCTTTTCTGTCGCAGCTGTGCCAAAAGTACAGCTTTATTTGAAAATGAGTTTTTGCCTTTCTTAAAGGGCTACCAGCCTCAAGGTGGCAGTTCCTATGGCCAGGTAAGCATCAGTCAGTACACATTGATTGAGAAAATGGAGTGCCATGGCACTGCCAAAGCACTTAGCAGTCACTCAGGAGTTGAACTTTAAAGGACGTTTTCTCTGAAAGTGTCTATTCTCACACTCAAAATGTATCCACGTTTGTCTGGAATCCCCACACGTGCAATCATCATGCTCAGCATCATTGTGAGGGCCAGGAGGAAGTCCAGGCTCTTCACGCTGCCCAGCAGCCGAGCTTTAGAGTGTAGTTGCTTGCTTCTGCTAATGCAGGATGGATCTCTTACAAAAGGGAAGTAACTGAATGGTGTCCTTGTTATAGGGTGGGCCGGGTTACTCGGGCAGCAGCAGTTCTTATGGCCAGGTAAGCCAACTGGATATCCTGTACCGAGTTCTTCACTGATCTCTCTGTGACCAGTATGACTGGCAGATTCTGGGGGCGATATTTCCTTTGGTAGTCTGTGTCTCAATTTGATTCATGGCTTTTGCTGAGAGGAGAGCAATCTGCTGCACAGATACTAGCATATAGTTGTCTCTAGGCTCCAAAAGAGGGGTTTTTTGAGAGGGAAACTCTTGTGCAGCTGTTTTCCATAAATATTATGCTCTTTGTAGAAGCCTCCTTGTCAAGGCCCTAATGATTTTATCTTCTCTTCTTTCAAAGGGCTCCCAAGGCAGCCAGTCCTATGGCCAGGTGAGACTTTTCTGCTGAAATGTACTGAGCTTTTCTGTAGGAGCCTGCCTGGGAAATGGACTTTGGTGTTTAGTTGGGTTTTTTCCCCTTCTTGGTGTTGCTGACTGTTCCTTGTTTTTGGTTCGTACCAGTGAATTACTGTGAAGGAAAAAAACACAGTACAGAGGAACTTTCAGTGGTAATGGGCTTTTCTGTCGCAGCTGTTCTAAGACTACAGCATTATTTATAAATGAGGTTTTGCCTTTCTTAAAGGGCTACAGGCCTCAAGGTGGCAGTTCCTATGGCCAGGTAAGCATCAGCCAGTCACATGAATGTGATGTTCCCATACATATATTTAATATTCTGTGGTTTGTTTTTTGTAATAATATAGGAATTTGTCATTATAAGTAAGAGTTGTGAACTTTTTTTTGTATGCGTCTGGGAACAACAGTGTCATTGAAGAAGCTCTTTCCCATATATTAAGGAGTGCATGCAGGTGTCGACTTTTTGATGCACTATAATATTCACCATGCACATTACTTTACAGGAAAGTTCACAGTAGCTGGTCTTCTACCTTTTAAGTAGTCAGGCAGCTAAAGCTCTTTAAAATTTATTTCTGTATTTTAAATGGAGAAAAGGAATATTTAGATTACTGAGCTGCTCTTTTTTTTCAATCAGGGTGGATCTGCTTCTTCAGGTGGCAGCAGTGGTTGTGGAAAAGTAAGTCCTCTTTCTCCTATTTGAAAGCTACACCCAGCTTTCTTTGTAGTAGTAACATATTTTTTGATAACTTATGTGATGTTTGTTAGTTGGAATCTTTTTTTTTCACTGTAACATAGATTTATGTAGCACAGAGATCAAGAAAGTCTGATATTGTTGATCACTCTAATCAAAACTAAGTGTCGTCTCCCATGTAGTGTTACACACAGAAGACAGACAAGCAGTGATTCATTGTCTGCTCAGTAAACAGATAAAATCTTTGCTTGGGAATGATTTTTGGATGCTGCACTATTTAGTTCCTATAGGAAGCAATAGGATCAGAGAGCGGCTCCTGTGGAATGAGAATTAGATTAATAGTTTTCAACTTGGTTCCATTTCAACTTCTGTATCCCTACAACAGTGTAAAGATAGTGTCTTCAATGATGACATCCCAGGTGGAAGGGTTGTAGTTGAGGCCACAGTAGTAAACCTATAGTCAAATACATATATTGGGGAAAGCAAAAAACTTAAAGATAAGTATAAATACAGAAACTTTTAGCAGAAGTATTTAGCAGAAATATTGGGATTGGTATGAGTTACATATGAATGGAAATGCATGTGAAAGCATTGTAAGAAGCAGTGCAAGGATGCAGTTAAGAGTAATGAAACTGATAAACCCTGAAGAATCTGTTACTACCACCAAAGCTGTATCTCAGGTTGACTTACCAACAGAAGACCTGTGCTCTAATACTGGGAGGGTGACAACCAGGGTAGAACTCATTGTGTCATTGTGTTATCCCAACGGGAAGACTGACTGTAGCCAAATTATACCCAAAACAGGAAAATGAAAGGCATTGGGCAGCAGCCCTGCCTAAGTTCTATGATGGGTGAATCTAGCAAGATTCTGAGGTAGGCAGTCACACAACAGTAACTGTTGATTCCTAAAAGGACTGTCCAAAAAAAACCCTGCTCCATCTTACCAATCAAGAGGAACTAGGATGATACAGAGAGATATCAATTGCCAGCCTACATCACTTTCCATGTGCCATACAAATAGTCCTGCTTTGATCATCTGTGTCCATGTGTCTTGGCACTTGTGGATATAGGAGTATAAGAATGACAGAGGGTAAAGCAACAGACTTAAAGGGTTAAATAAAACTAAAATAATCTTATGTAAAGTTTTATGTTGAGTTTTGTTACACTAATTCTCACATAAGGAATTTTAAGAAAGCTAATTACTTTGCAAGAAAATGAAAATTTCGGCATTTACCTTTTGTTTTTTTGCTTTTTAACAGGGGGTTTCATATGATAGCAATCCCTGCCACCAGGTAAATGGCCTTCCTCCTCTGATTTTAAGATGCATCCAAAACTAGTTTTGCCACTAACTCAATTATAACAACTTCAGATTCATAGATGTAATCTTAACAATTATGAGATTAGAACACACTATCTTTGTATACACAGGAGTTTGGAGTCTTTCCCCTCTGATCTATGCTTACTACGTTAGAAATTGTATCTATATTGTGTATCTGCCTCTGCTCCTTATTCCTTCTAAGCAAGTATTGTAACTTCAATAAAAATAATCTATAATAAGTGTCTAATGTATGCACAATTTGTGTCTAATTTACAGGGTGGATCACAGGGTGGTCAGGTAGGTAGCTCTTTTTTATCCATTTGGGAAAAGATTTTAAGCAGTTCTAATCCAGAGTATAGTTTTCAGGCTCATGAGGGTATAGACTCTTGCAGAGTCTCCTGAGCTCCAGCCTGTAACTCATTCTCTTCAAATGTAATTTTTTAATCAGTCCTGAAATTCCACTTACATAGGAAGAACTCAGCAACCTAAAAAAACTAACTCTGTGGATTCTGATGAAATTCAGTCTCCAGCATTATAACTATTGCTGTTTTGTTTTCACAGGGCGGATCATACTCCTCACAAAACTATGGTGGTAGCCAAGTAAGTAGAGATTATTATTTCCTCTGAGGTTTTACTTCACACTCATTCCATGATGGCTGATCAATATCTGATCCGCAATACTGAGGTATTAATTTTAATTTATTTTTTGTTAGCAGAGTGGATCATCATACTCACAAAATTATGGTGGCAACAAGGTAAGTAGGCCACAATATTCTTCTAGTGAGGATTTTCATCATATCTGATAAGTTATCTAGGTATCTAGAAAGTTGTATTTGTTCAAAGGAATCCCAGGCAATTGTTTATTCCAGCTTTACAGCCCCCCAACAAAATCAGTTTCTTCTGAAGTAGCATTTATATTTCTTTATAGGGTGCATCCTTCTCACAAAACTATGGTGGTGGCCAAGTAATGCCCTGTTTCCCTACTTGTACATCACTTCATACAAGCTCTAGCCTCTGCTCAAAATCAATTTTTTTGTATTGTAATTTTCTCTGATTTTGTTTTGTTTGTTTGTTTTAAAGGGTGGATCGTACTCCTCAGACACCTATTATGATGGTCAGGTAACTAGTTCTTTCTTTCTCCTGCTTATATATTATTCTACACTAATCTTTGTAGTCCCTGCATCATCTTTCTCAAAGATGTAAAAAAACATAATAGTTTCTATAGCCTTTTTGGTTTGGACCAGTTTTGGCTTTTTTCTTTACTGAAGAATGAAATGTTCCCTGTAAGCAATTGTTGCAGACGTGTATTTGGCTCTTTATTTTCCTCCTAAAGAGTGTATTTTAATATAACTCAGCTTTTTCTTTCCATGAGCCTCAATACTGTCTTGCAAAGTACAACACTAAATTGTATGTCTAACAATCCATTTTTGTAAGTAAATAACTGGTATCTGATATCCTTCTAGGATTCACAAGATTTCTCAGATGATAATCCTAATGCCTGTGATGATGTGAGTATATTTTCTCTAATATATTTTAATCACAACATTTTTCATGAAGATGGCAAAATATTGCACTGCTTGTTGCAGTCTTGTGAGCAGAATGATCCAGAAAGAAAGTTGAGTTCCCACACTAATAGCTGTTTCAACAACTGCATGTTTTTCTTACTGAAAATTGTCATGTGTTTACAGCTACATTTTGTGCTTTTAAATGCATTTAACTTGATGAAATTAAGTAGGATTGTTCAGCCTGGCAAAGAGGAGGCTCTGGGGAGATCTTTCAGCGGCCTTCCAGTTTCTGAAGACATCCTACAAGAAAGCTGGAGAGGGGAAAATAAATCCTGTAGGCAAGCTTTAAATATATACAATGAAAGAGAAAGGATAGAGTGGTAGATATTCCACTGCTTTTCTTGTTACATTTCTACCAATCTACAGTTGCTATTAAAATGTTTTTCAGACTGGAATGGTAGGATTTCAAAGTAATTTAAGCAAGGCTGTGGAAGATGTGGCAACAAATTATTTTTATTATGTCTGTATGTAGTATCAGAAAGAATCAGGTTTCTGTAGGCTTACTGTATTTAAATATTTCTTAAAGAAGGAAATAATTTATTCTTTTCCAGAATGACACTACCTATAGTGCCAACAGTCGGGTAAGTACATTCTTTTTCTTCTGCAGTATTCAAATTATTTTGATTAATGACAGTGTTAGTAACTGAACTCTTCTACATGAGACCTGTGGACCTCTAATTGTAGTGTATGAATGCTTTATAATACCCTTCAAAAAGTTAATTTAAGAGTGAGATATTTGATGATATATTTCTCTGTAGTTAGTCCCTTCTAGCCATTCTCAAGGCTGCTAAACAATTATTTTAAACTGTCTAATACTTCTAACACAATTTATTGTAGTATATGCACTTTGACTGGATAATTATTTGGGAATTAAACATCTGTGTACATGAAGCATGTAGCCACCTCAAGCATTTTCCACTTGTTCTAATTTAAACTTTTATATATGCTAGTATTGGAAAGTAATATTTAATACTTTAAACATTTAATAACAGTTATACTTTCTTTGTCAAGACTTTCCATCTCCTCTACAAGCAGAAACTGTGATTGACATGGATAGCTCATGACCAAGCAAATATACTGTTGTGTAAATGAATGGCACTTTTCTGTACTTCTTTCTGTTCCTAGAAAAGCTTTTTCCATCTGTTACTGCCATCTAGAGTAACCTTCTGTTACCAGCTACTTGCCTTCAGTTGTCAGCCGCATACTTTACTGCTATTTTTCCTCTCTAGTTCTTTAGTACTGCACCAAAAATGTGTATAAGGAAGCAAGGAGGCCTTCTGAAAAAATCTTTTGGTTTTGCTTGTATTTACATTGAATGCATTGCATTAGGTTTAATGCAAAAGCTTCTGCAAAAAAAACATCCTTCAGCAGCAAACCCTGTTTAAGAGTCTCCTCTTTTCCTTCTTTGTTCTTCTTGCGTATCGCTATCCAGTGTGTATTGCTAGACTTCATTGTAAAAGAGTTTGCTTCTAAATCTTCTCACAAAGAAGGGTGGGGGAATGTTACAAAAAAAAAAAAACAAACAACAAATTTGTTATACAGATTGTTCTCTAAATGACAGTAGTTCTGCTGAGGGAGACTCTGCTAGGCAGGAACTTCTAACAAAGGAGTGATAAGGTGAAAACCGATGAAGAATATGCTTTTTAAGACTCTTAATGATAGTAAAATGATATCTTTGGCATAGCATAGCTGATGGCAGATTGCAGAACTCCTGAGAAACTGACAAAAATTCAGGTGATGATCTTGACACAAACTTTGCTTTTTTTACTACATCCATTACAGATAATTAATTCAATTTACTTCAAAGTGGAATCACCTTTTGAATATACTGTAGACATAGCTTCATAAAGAAACTGTTTTATACTTTCACAATTTCACACTGAATTGTGAAAAAAAATACTAAAGAAAGTGAGACCTTGCTGCCCCACTGTTTAGTAGGTGTGTTTTATAGTGCAGTTAAGTCTGAATTTTGTATTGATTCCAATGGAATAGGCTGATGTGGTTTGCATTCCTATTTGTACAATATGAGGGTTCTGGCAGATAGATGACACTCTCCTCTCTTGCTCCAAAGCTAGTCTGTCAATCTTAATTACTTCCTTTTTTTTCCAAATAACTCCAACACAATATTTTCCACTGTGTTATTTAGTGAATGTGAGGTCAGTTCACTGGACATTGCCACCTTGACAAGTTTAGGTAGATTTTTGCTGAAAGTATTTCGGGTGGATGACTGCATTGATTAAGTAATAACTGATTTCTGGCTCCTTTACAGAGTTCTGGTTGTGCAAAGAAGAAAGTTGTTGCCAGAGTAAGTAATTTTTTTTAAAATTTATTTTTTACTGTTTGTAGGATTTTCACCCTAGCTGTACCTAATTTGTCCCAGTTATTTCCCTAATTATGTTTTCCCTAATTAATATTCTCCTATTTAAGGAAAAGGTAAAATAAAATAGCTTGGCTATTTGCTCTTTGGGTGAATTTACTTTAAAGGAAGTGTGCATATACATATACGCGCACACACACACACATATATATATGAAAAAAGGACATGAAAATCCTACTATGAGGCACAGGGCAGCTCAAATTCCTGTTCTTCAAGAAGCACATACAGAGTTGCTCCAAACTACAGTTAAAATTAAATTAGTGTCATACAAACAGAGGACAGCTGAAATTTTAGCTGAAGTAAGATAGAATAATGTTTGGTAATTCATTGTGCATGTTGTGGAGGAGATACAGATATATGTATTGAATAGCTTCAAGTCAGACTCAGCAGTAGCCTATAAAAATGATGTAAAAATAAATTTTATTTTATAATAAGGCATTCCTGCTCAATGTATGTATTGACAGGTTTGGAGTTGTTGTAAATAAATAATATGGAAAAAAAGAAAGTGTGTCACTGATCATAGAGTTTTCATCTCCAAATAGTAAATGTCTTTATTTTTTTACAGGATACATCACATGTTTTGAGCAGAAGAGACTATGATGTCCAGGTAAACCATTCTTTTTCTGAACTACTGCTGGTGTTACAGCTCCTTGGTGTATTACCTACAAAAACGGGAATAAGGATCTAGTTTCCACAACAGAGTATTCTATTTAGGGTTAGGTAGTTCTTTCCCAATAGAACTATGTATTTTAACTTATTACCCTTACAGAAAAATGAGTAATTTCTTGTTTCTTCACAGAATGAGTCTTCTACTTCAAATAGCAGCCACACTAATGTCCAGGTAATAACAGGATGCCTACTGCATGATCTTATTGCAAGGAGCTTTCTGAGAAATTATTTTTCATTTCTGAAAATTAGGTTCCACTAATTTATCTGTTGTGCGGGTTGCTATTTTGATTTGGTAGCATTTTACCTGTAATGTTATAATTTTGTACAATTGTAAATAATGATAATTGGCCTAGAATATACTGTCTCCTCGCCTCCTTCACTCCACTAAGCAGGTAAGCATTGCAGGTGTTTCTTTCCATAACATTTTGTAAAAGTTGTTTGCAAAACACAAAGTAAATAGTTTTAGAATCGTTTTTAAGAAACAGTCCTGCTCTACTGAAGGTAATGGCCAGGTATATAATTTTGTTTCATTTGGAATTTGGTAACAAGATACATCTTGGTGATTATGTTCTTCTGGTTAAAAAAAAAAAACTTTCATGGTCTGTAGACTTATGTACTGCTGCAGCAGTGTATATGTTATAGAATTATGTGAAATTTAACTGATCCAGAGTGGCACCTGATTCTATTTTTCTTAATATTTTGTACTATATTGGTACCCATCAGCTTCCCAGAGATCTGGAATCCCACTATGCCCAGCATTATGTAGATGTAACACTGCAATAGCCCTCTGTCTCAGAGGATTTGAAGTCTAATTCAGTAGTAGAGTCAGATCTCTGAGCTCCAGAGAGTAACGGTTTTCTTAATTCGTTTTCCTGGTACCTTTTCCCTATGTATTGTGTCCAGTTACTAATTGAGTTTCATCCAAATTTATGTTTTCACAATGATTCAGACAGAGAGTTCTGAACATATAATGCTTGTTCATGCAGGGAAATAGTACAAGGAGTTTGTCACCTTACTTCTCACTACATAATTTTATACGTGTTAGATTCTGATAAAATGCTTCTACAAAAAATAATTTATTTCTTCACAGGGTGGATCATTTATTGCAACTGGTGGTGGATCAAATAGTCAGGTCAGGATTTTCTCTATTTTTTGTTCTGCATGGGGGATTGTTGATGTTATGCATTTAATTGTAAATTAAGTGACCCCGTTCAGATTAAATTTATCTGAAATGGCTCTCTGAAATCACTTCTTAACACTGCTTCAATTTCACATATGGTTTATTGGTAAGATCACAATGATGGTTCTCTTGACTACACAGATAATTCTCTCATTATGAGGCATTTGGCACTGAGACATAACACTGAGAGATGTAGTATCAGGCCAACTTCCAGAGCAAACATTAAATGTATAAGAGCTATGCTGTCCTCTCATTTGTTCTAGGTATAGGAAAGTCACAGCTACTGTGTAATCCCACTGTCTTTCTTCCACTAAACATAGTTTCACATCTGAAATAAGATTTTATTTTAAACTTTCACAAAGCAATAATTGGTTCCTCTTTTTTAATTTATAGGGTGGTTGCGTTTGTCCTGATGGAAGCAGTGGCAATAGACAGGTAATTCTCTTTCTGAGTTTGTACTTTCATCTACATAATGGAGTATTTTGAATTAAGCACCTAGTAAGTACGGACACCTGGGTAACACCAAACATTATTGATAATTTTCATTAGTATGGATAGAATTATATACAATGAAGTGGAAGAATGAGTCCCACTTTACTTTAACTGCATAATTACCATTTGGCTAGTAACTTTCTGGAACTGTGTTTGGTAATCCAGATGCTCTGTCAGCTGACTATTATGTGCTAATTATTCATTACTTTCAGAAATCGGAGTCAATATGTGCTGCAGTAACCACAAAATTGAATTGCATGCATCTTAGGTTCCTTGTCCTTCTCACTGGTACAAAAAATACTGTGATTAAAATGTCAAAATCTGAAGAACATTTTAAAATATAATCTCTTAAATCAGTATTTAAACTATTCTTTCATTTAAAGAGCATCACTGCAATTTCACGATCAGTGGCACTGAACAAACTTTTTTCTTAGGCAATGCCCCTGTGCCAGGAAAAAGCCCAAGGAATGTGATTACATGGGCATTATGGACTAGCTTTACCAGGCTTCTGGCTTCACTTGGCTTTGCCAGGTGAATTTGGATTTTAAAGTCACTTGTTTTCTACCAGAAGACTTATTTTTGAAGCTTTTATTGAAGCCGTATTTACATAAACCCATTTGAATGGTGCAATATTTTTTTCAGCTTTCAATTTCAATGAGAATCATATTATGGATCATTATTTCTATTTAAAAAGCATGCTATTTAAACAAACTAACTGTATTAAAAAGTACTGCTTTCTGAACTTAACTGCCATTAACTTTAACATGTAGCAATGGTAATTTTGGTCAGGTAAAATACTGCCTCTTTCATATAATTAAGGCTGAGCAGTAATCATCACCTACTTGTTTTAAAATATAGACTAATCTATTAAAATAACTAATACTGAAACTTCATCGAGGAAAATCTTCTTTATGTGTCATGTGACTGTAGTGCTATATAAGCAAATCCTTTTACAAGGGAAAAGATGGATGTCTTTATGCAAGTTTTCATTTTATCAGAGCCTTTTTCTTTGCATGCTTAAATTGGTGCACCAAGAGGCTTAGTTTTTAACAACAAGGCACCACAGCTTGGCCAAGGGGAGGAGAGTGTATTTAGTTGCTATCCAACAATAATTTTCAACATGAAGAAAATGAGATATCTAAATTGGACATGTTAGAAAACCAGTTCTCAGTGCAGATGTGTCCACTTTGATACATGAGACTCATATCTCTTTGTGGTATTATTAGCTGATAGAATTAACTAATGATAAACTATGTAGCAATAGTTTTGATCTTTGTCTTCACCCAACGGTAAAGTTCAGTGATCTTTGCAAAGGAATAAACTGAATTAAAACTGGACTTATTTTCATTTTATATCCGGGGTTAATCCTCTATTTGTGGCAGATTAGCATTAAACACATCAGCCAGGATAGGCAGGTTCATTCTTTTGAATAAAAAAAGCAAAGTATAGGTAGATGGGTATGTTTAAATAAACCAGCATTCATAAATCTCACTCAAAAGAGACAGTCATCTACTTCCATGAAGTTTCTTTATCCCTGGAGGAAAATTCCTGCAAAAAGCTTTAATGTAAATTTAAAAGCAATGAGTTACATGAAGGTCTCTTCAAACCTGGAAAATATTATAAATTAACAGTCAAAGTTATACATATTTAAACCATCTTGTTTGAAAAGAAACAATTGGTTTCCTTATGTGGATCCCCAAATTCCTCACACTGCAATTACTCCACTTTTTCTCTAAGCTTCATCCAAAGGCAAGAGCTCAGTCTACAAGCGGTTTCTGAAGAAGCAGTCTAATCATTGAATAACACTGTCTGTTTTCTACATAAAGGGGTGTGAAAATAATGATGGATGTTATGTACTGGTAAATAGTTTTCTTCTTTAACCGGTGAGCTGAAAAATCTGCTCTCCTAAACCTTATTTACACTTTGGAAGTTCAGTAATCTGGCAATTTTTAAGAACACGACTAGAGTCATGATCATCTATAAAAATATAGTCTGCCAGGTGTGACATAGGATTCTGTGATTAAAAGAGTAAAATGAGAAGTTACGATTTCTTTCAAGTCTTTTAATATGAACAGAAAAGTACCTGCTAAAGGTTTCCTTATCTCTAATAACAATAACCAGTGTCTTCTTTCAATGATGGCAGTAATGTCCTGTTTAAAAGCTCTATTTTGTAAGAACAGAAATTCAGAAATGGACTCATGTAAATGTCTATTTGCAAGAAAATAGCTAGTCTGTGTTTTCATTTCAGGGAGCCCCAGGTTCTTCACACAGCACATACTCTGGTAACCAGGTAAACATTCAGATTAAATGCCCTATTCAGAAGCTCCATCTAAAACCTTCCCTGAAGGAGTAGCCAAATATAAACCAGTAACACATTCTGTCTTCTGCACAGGGAGGGCCTTTCTTCTATCCTGGAGGATCCTATGGACAGGTAGTTGTTCTTCCTCCCTTACCAGGACAACACAGACTCCCATCATCCTGGTTCTTTCACTCCCAGTAGTGCGCGTGCCGTGACATGCTATAATTACAGACATGAAGTTGTCTCTTAGAGTAGAAATCTTAAATTAACCCTGTTGTAACCCAGGGGTGTGAGGTTTGACAGGGAACAGTGCAGAATGGTATCTTGATTTTGGTCTTGATTTTTGTCTAGGTATATAAAGGTAGGTCAAAACTGGGGAGAAAGCGTGCAAAGAGAGAACCAGATAACACTGGTATTTAAATACTCATCTGCAAGAAAATAGCTGGTCTGTGTTTTCCTTTCAGGGAGCCCCAGGTTTTCCCCACAGCTCTTACTCTGGTAACCAGGTAAATATTTGGGTCACTGTGCCTGCACAGGAGCAGTCTAAAAGTCTTCCTTGAGAGAACAATTTCAAGTACAAAACACTAAATGTTTGTGTTTTCTGTACAGGGAGGATCTTCCTTCTATCCTGGTGAATCTTACGGACAAGTAAGCGGTTTTCCTAATTTGCAAAGATAAGACAGCCTTCTGTTATCTTCATTCCTATATTCCCAATATAGTGACTATTCTGAAATATAACCCCCAACAATTGAATCAACCATTAGTAATTTACGAGATTAAGTCTGTCAGAGGAAAAGACTAAATTGTGTTTATAAGTTCCATGGAATGATCTTTTATCCAGCTAAGAAAATTAGTGATAAAAACTTCCTTGTTCTTTAACAATATTGGCCTAAAGTGAGAGTTAGGTACATTGCTATTTATACCATCCTGTTTGCAAGAAAATAGCTAGTCTGTGTTTTCATTTCAGGGAGCCCCAGGTTCTTCACACAGCACATACTCTGGTAACCAGGTAAACATTCAGATTAAATGCCCTATTCAGAAGCTCCATCTAAAACCTTCCCTGAAGGAGTAGCCAAATATAAACCAGTAACACATTCTGTCTTCTGCACAGGGAGGGCCTTTCTTCTATCCTGGAGGATCCTATGGACAGGTAGTTGTTCTTCCTCCCTTACCAGGACAACACAGACTCCCATCATCCTGGTTCTTTCACTCCCAGTAGTGCGCGTGCCGTGACATGCTATAATTACAGACATGAAGTTGTCTCTTAGAGTAGAAATCTTAAATTAACCCTGTTGTAACCCAGGGGTGTGAGGTTTGACAGGGAACAGTGCAGAATGGTATCTGCAGAGTTCAAGCTTTTGCAGGCTAAGAAAATTACTGCCAGAAGACTTCTTCCATTTCAATAATACTGGTCTTGATTTTTGTTTAGGTACATAAAAGTTAGGTCAGAATTGGGAGAAAGAGTGTAAAGAGAGAACCAGATACACTGGTATTTAAATACTCGTCTGCAAGAAAATAGCTGGTCTCTGTTTTCCTTTCAGGAGGGCCCAGGTTCTTCCCACAGCTCTTACTCTGGTAACCAGGTAAATATTTGGGTCACTGTGCCTGCACAGGAGCAGTCTAAAAGTCTTCCTTGAGAGAACAATTTCAAGTACAAAACACTAAATGTTTGTGTTTTCTGTACAGGGAGGATCTTCCTCCTATCCTGGTGGATCTTACGGACAGGTAAGTAAGTGGTTTTCCTCATTTGTAAAGGTAACAGCCTTCTGTTTTTTTCATTACCATACTGCCCTATTCAGAAGGAAAACTCTTTCTTAAGGGAACCAAAATAATAATATGTTTCTTTATTTTCTGCACAGGGTGGGTCTTCTGTCTATGACAGCAGCAGTGAGTCCTACGGTCAGGTAAATACTCTTTTTTTTTCTCTTTGTATAAAGGGTGCTGAGGGCCATTACCCTGGCAAAATACAGCTATATTCTGTATTTTGGCTCTCATTGTATTTTAATGAAGGTAGGTTTTTTTCTTTGCAGTCTGAATTTGCATGTACTTTTAACTAAGTAGCCTGAAGGTTTATAGGGGAGTAAAAAGTGGGGTGCTTCCAACTGTTAAAGCTTATTCTCCTCAACAACGCTAGCTTTGAATTATCTGCAAGAGGAAGGTCTCTTCAAAAGTGGAAATAAAATTTGAGTTAAAAATGTTAAATTAGTGTTTTACAGGGGCAGAACTGAGTTGCTCAGTAGCGATTCTGATAACTAAGTAAAATTCATATTTTTTAAATCTCCCCAGAAGAAGATCCCTACATTAAGCGTAAAAAAAATATATATATAGCTGTCGGCAATATGAAAATTATTTATGTTTTCTAAACAGGGTGGATCTTCCACGCACAGTGGTGCTGGATCTTCCACATATAGCAGTACTGGAGGTTATGGTCAGGTAAATATTATTTGTCTCATACATCAAAAGCTTTAGCTTCCTGTGTTGGTTCTTAGGTGTACTGGGTTCCATATTTCAATTATTTTTAAGTGATGACCATGGAAATGCTATTTTACCTTTTGTTTCTCTTCATTTTTATTTACCCTTTTACAACTCCAAATGTTTCCATAATGGAGGGAAGGTGATGCACTATATAAAGTAATTGCACCACTGTGACTATTCAATGCTTCAACTTCTTTATTGTTTATGCATTAGGTCATTCAAAGGGAAAATATTTTGTGCATTTGCTTTACACACCGTATTTATGCCGAAACTGTTGAAAGTCTAGGGCAGTGCACATACTGTATTTGAAGTCTGCATTTGTTGATGGGGAATGTCATTGTGGGATCATTCTGTAGGGACCATTTTGTTCAGAAATACATTTTACATCAGCTGAAGTCATATTGATTTATTTATTAAAAATAGTAATGCATATAATTCAGATTGGTTTTTCATAGAAAATTGTGTCATGTTGCTACTTCTGGTGCAAGATTTAGAAAGTAAGCATAGATAATGGGTTTTTTGAATGTAAAGAATGGTTAATTTTGGAATTATTTTTTAACCTCTTCTGCTTAAGCAACAGGGGAAGTTATGTATCTTTTCTTGCACTTTCCCTGGTTTACAAAAAATTGGAGATTCTAAGTGGCTGGTTATTTTTATTCTTCTATTTCATATTCTCCACAAGTAAGATCATGTAAGAGTACTTTTCATATGAAAACAAATGTTTTTTCATTATTTTACAGGATTCACCTTCCATAGGAGGCAGTGAAGCTAATGACAGTGTAAGCATTTCTTCTCAAGTATATCAGTACTAGAATATACTACCTTTTAAACTATCTAGGTGCTTACATGGACTTCATCTTATCATCTTATCTTCAAAAGCTCCTTCACAGTACATTCTAATCATCTTTGCTGTTTAGTAATTTTCTGCAATAACTTAATAACTTATTTGAAATTATATTGCTTCTATAGATAAAGGAAAATGTAGATTTAAGTTACATCACATTATTGTGCTATGGTATCATAAGGACTTAAAATTATAGTTACAACCGTTCTCAGTTGTAACGATCATACATTTTGTGAATCAATTATTATGGAAGCACCATTTACAAAGGAAGCCATTTTCCTTTATTTCACAATTGCCATTGAAACTTAATATTAGTATATGCTCATGGTATGCAAAGCAACCAGATACATCTAACTTCCAGCAATTTAATTGCTTTTTCACTGAGTTAAATTAATTAAATAACACTAATTGAAGTACAAGAACAGTACTATCAATATGTCAGATCAGACATTCTTGTTCTTAAGGCTTATTTTTTGTGACGTATTTCCTTAGTAGTATATTCCCTGAACTCTCATAACAATTCCCACTTTCAAGCTTAATTGCTCTTAAAATGCAGATTTATTTTAAAACTCAACTTTTCCTTGTCTTTTTGAGAAAACATCATAATTAACCCTTAATCATTATCTCATTTTATTCTTTTTCTACAATATAACTTCCCTTATCAATACTGCACAGACTAGTTCTCTCTTTCTATCTCCAATTCACAGTACACTTCATTTGTGTTTTTCCAATGCCAGACATCTAAGATTCAAGTTCCTTCATCTATATATTTCATAGGAATGGTCTGTTTTAATGTAGTGTGGTGAGAACTGCTTGCTTTTCTGTTTAAGACCATACCTTTCCTCCTGAGTAAAATATATTTCCTATTAATTCTGGTGAAGCTGTTTATAAAACTTTCGAAGTTTAGTGTCTCATTTTCTCAGAGTCTTGTGTGATTGATTATACTTTAACTAGATTTCGAAGAAGTATGTTTTCCAGTGTCCTAGTTAGTAGAAAATTGTTCTCCTCAAATTTTTATAAATTCTGCTGTGCACTTCAGCCACCAGTATAGTGTGTCATTAGTTTATACACAGTTTCCGTGCCAAAATCTTCTTGTGGATATCCAGCAAAGCTAAAATATGATACTACAGAGGGCCCTGAGGCCCTCTGAAAAAAACCTAAGTTATAAACAACATTGATGGGTACCACTGAGATCTTAGAAGAACCAAGATGGCTTTTAAAGTGCTGATGTTTTTCCCCTATAGCATTCTAAGAGGAAATAACATAGAGATATGATGTCATTCATTTATTTCACTACATCAGGATTCATCTTTCCAAATATAGAAATGCCATTCTCCAGAAATGAGCAAAGAATGAACTTGAAAGAATTCTGCTTATACAGCCTACATCTTTAACCTTCCCAACAAGCCATGCAAACAAGCAGTAGTTTTCTTTGCCTTCCACCCTTGGTTAGAAAATAATAGAAATATTTGCCATGGAATAACGAGCTTCTAATATTTTTTAGGATTCCACGTCACCATCTGGCAGCCGGCAGAGTGAACGGGTAAGCACTCCTTCCTTACATGTTGCCAGGGTGTCTGCCCCAGTGCTTGGCAACTGCTAGCCACCTAAATCGGTGGTGTGGCAGCTTCCAGCATGGGATAGGAAGTCATCAAGCACAGAGGGAATGACAATATGGCTGAAGTGTTAAAGTACTGCTAGAAATCCCAACTGATGCTGAGGTGTGCTCTTGAATCTCAAACTCACAAACACGGTACCACAATTTACTTGTTCAGATTCCTGTGCTTTTTTGCTCATTACCTGACTGCAAAACGCTTCAGTATGAGTGGTTCCGTTTTCCTGTCATTTTACTTATTTTAATGAGAGTTAAATGACACAGGCTGAGAAATTATTTTGTTGGAGATAAAAGGACTTTTAATCATTATATCCAAAAGAATATCTTTCACCAAAAGCACAATTATCAACAGGCAAAAAGGGGCATGTGCTGTTTTATAGAGGAAGACATTTTCCCTTGTTCTTGAACAATCCATGAGAGAAAATTAAGGAATGTGGAGAAGTACTGTTCAGCTTCCATCCTGATCTTTCCATACTACAAAAGAAAGGAAGTTTTTGGTTTTTTCATGTAATTTCAATACATTTTTCCAGGATTTTTATTCCCCAGGAGGCAGCCAGTCAGGTGGACATGTAAGCATCTATTTTATTCATTATTTGCAGTTCCCTTCCAAAATGGCTGTTTTATTTAAAAATTATCCTGACGAGTAAATTATATGCAACTGTTTATCTCCTAGAATTTCTCCTTACATTTGCCATCATGACTTGTGAAACTAAATGGCAAACTGTTAAAAAAAACAAAACAACAAATTTTTAAAAAATGTGTGTATGACTATTCGACAGCATAGTTGCAGTTTCCAGAAGCCATTTTTAACAAAAATACATTTGTTCTACTTTTTGCAGGGATCATCTTTTCAAAGTGGTGGTTACTCCAGTGGACAGGTAAATACTAACTCTTCATATTTTTCTTCAGTATTTTTTTTTTGTGGTTTGTTGGGGTTTTTTTTCCCCAATATATATATTTCAAGAAAATTTTACCGGATTGGTAATACCTAAATTTTCAGACTACTTGGAGGGTGAGGAGGGGTTATCCTTATTAATTTTTCTATATATAAAATCATGTTCCTAACTGGATAGATCTTTTCAAACATATTTAGAGAGTAAAAGACAATACATTGTAATCAAATATATACATGTCAAACTTAAAGAAAATCCTTTACATGAAAATATAACATTTACAGGGTTCAACTTCCTCAGGAGGCAGCCAGTCTGGTGGACAGGTACGCTTTTCTTTACACACACCATTCAGTTGTGTTAATGTCAGGCACTCACAATTTACTTTGTGTACCTTTCCTTCACAAGAACTGTTTTCCTTCACCACTGTCGTTTTTGCCCAAAGCCTCAGCAACATGTTCTTTTCTTTATCCATGTCATTCAGACACCCTGCAGGTCGTAGCAGCCTGTAGTAACTGTCTGAATGGCAGCTGTAGTTGAGCTTTTGTACCTGTGTTGGTGCTAAACATTTCTCTTACACATTTTGTGCAGATTGAAAGTGGCCATCTCTGGCCATCTCTCAGTTTTATCAGAGTAGAAATCTGTTTTCTGTAACACCTGTAGCATGAAAGAATACTGCATGTATTCCAAGTTCTCTGGAAGGGGGCAGAGGGAAGAAAATTGTTTTCTGTAGTGCTACTTAGAATTTTGCTACTTGTCCGTTTGGTGAGTAAGGTTTTTAAGCTAAAGTTTGTAAATAACAAAATTAGAAGTTTTTTGCCTCGTCAGAGCAATAAGTGCGGGAATAGTTGCGTAGGATGAAGAGAACAAAAAATAGACTAATTTCTAGAAGTTGGGCACTTATAACTTTATGGCTTGCATACCTGGGATGGTAGAGAAAGTGATCTGAGTTGTAACTGAAGTCCCTTTCAGTCCCTTGCTCTTGATATCTTAAATATTTGCTGCAATCTTTACAGGGTGGATGTGATTGTTCTGGAGGAAGTTCTGTAAGTGTTATTTTTACTTTACACATTTGCTTTTACTAAATTATTTAACTGGAAAATTATCTGTGGTCCTATTTATTTCTAAGTTATTTGAATGTACTCTTAATTTTATATTCATTGTTCCTTTGGTGACTTACATATTAGTGACATGGTAGGAGTTACTTCTCATTATGCCAACATCATTCAGAATTACAGAATCATAGAATCATTTAGGTTGGAAAAGAGCTTTAAGATTGAGTCCAACCATAAACCTAACACTGACAAGCCCACCACTAAACCATGTCCTTAAGCTTCATATCTACCTGTCTCTTAAATACCTCCAGGGATGGTGACTCAATCACTTCCCTGGGCAGCCCCTTCCAATGCTTGATAATTCTTTTGCTGAAGAAATTTTTCCTAATATCCGTTCAATACGCCCCCTGACACAATTTGAGGCTGTTTCCTCTAATCCTGTCACCCGTTACTTAGGAAAAGAGACTGACCCCCACATCTCTACACCCTCCTTTCAGGTAGTGGTAGAGAGCAATAAGTTCTCCCCTCAGCCTCCATTTCTCCAGGCTAAAGAACCCCAGTTCCCTCAGCTGTTCTCCAGACCCCTCACCAGTTTTGTTGATCTTCTCTGGACACACTCCAGCACCTCAATGTCTTTCTTGTAGCGTGGGGCCCAAACTGAACACAGTACTCAAGGTGCGGCCTCACCAGCGACCAGTGTCAAGTACAGAGGGATGATTGCTTCCCTAGTCCTGCTGATCACACTATTTCTGATACAAGACAGGAACCCCCAAAGTTGGCAGCAAAGTGTGTTCTCTGAGCACTGACTTTCAGTTACCATACAGTATTTACAGAGATGTGTATCTCTTCTCAAAAAATAAAAAAATTGATTGCATTAAATAGCAGAATTAATTCACAAAAGATCTATCATGAAGGGAAGGTAAAGTAATATTGTCTACAAAATTGCTAACCATAAAAGCTGTCTCAGAAATCAATGTTTACCAAATTAAACAAAAACCACAAACCGAGCCACTTCTCATTTGTGCTTTTAAGTCCATGTGAAATTGTTTAAAGACTCTGAAATAGGGTGATACATGCTTTTCAAAGCAAATTACATGATGTCAATCAACATGTAGTATGTAAAGGATATTCCTGCACCTTGAGTAGCGTTTTTTTGTGTCATGGGTAGATAAATACAAAATGATACTTTGTGAGTTATGGTCTTCCAGGCCAAAAAAATTATTTGCTATCTCGGCAAATTAAGAAAAGTAAGTGAAGTGTAAGTGTAATTTAATTTCAGACAGTTATAGTCTTCCTTTAAAATACCATAGAATGGGCATTCTAAAGTTTTGTTTCATTTTTAGTTTGTGATTGGGGCCCAAACTGAACACAGTACTCAAGGTGCGGCCTCACCAGCGACCAGTGTCAAGTACAGAGGGATGATTGCTTCCCTAGTCCTGCTGATCACACTATTTCTGATACAAGACAGGAACCCCCAAAGTTGGCAGCAAAGTGTGTTCTCTGAGCACTGACTTTCAGTTACCATACAGTATTTACAGAGATGTGTATCTCTTCTCAAAAAATAAAAAAATTGATTGCATTAAATAGCAGAATTAATTCACAAAAGATCTATCATGAAGGGAAGGTAAAGTAATATTGTCTACAAAATTGCTAACCATAAAAGCTGTCTCAGAAATCAATGTTTACCAAATTAAACAAAAACCACAAACCGAGCCACTTCTCATTTGTGCTTTTAAGTCCATGTGAAATTGTTTAAAGACTCTGAAATAGGGTGATACATGCTTTTCAAAGCAAATTACATGATGTCAATCAACATGTAGTATGTAAAGGATATTCCTGCACCTTGAGTAGCGTTTTTTTGTGTCATGGGTAGATAAATACAAAATGATACTTTGTGAGTTATGGTCTTCCAGGCCAAAAAAATTATTTGCTATCTCGGCAAATTAAGAAAAGTAAGTGAAGTGTAAGTGTAATTTAATTTCAGACAGTTATAGTCTTCCTTTAAAATACCATAGAATGGGCATTCTAAAGTTTTGTTTCATTTTTAGTTTGTGATAAAAACAAAGTCTAATTTTTCTTTTTTTTCTTGCCTCCCTTACAGGGTGGATCCCCTACCTTAGCCAGAAGTGACTCCTCTGCAAATGTAAGCAATGTTCATCATCATGAACACTTTTAATGTTCATGAGCTCTACAGCTCTGTGGAGTGCAACAATCAGTGCTGCTGAACCAATGGCTGCACTATACACATTTAAGGAAGGGTTTGGTTTGGTCTGATCTGATCTCATGGACCAAAAGTCTGCTTACTACCTGAATGTATTGAGTGTGCGCCTGGAGAGCATTCTACAATTTAGTTTAATCTGAAAGGTGTCTAAACAAATTACAGTGAGTGAAGTAACTATCAGGAGTTTTGTCTCAAAGTCGCACTCCTGATCTGTACTTTAATGCGTAGATGCATCCAGTACCTCATCATGGGAGAGTGGATTTTGCATACTGAATGTAGATCTTAGTTCTCCCCCAACTGTATGTTGCAGTCTACCTCAGAACATGGTCTTTATCTTCTTTAAAGGGCAATTGAAAAGTCATTTTACACAGTTCAGATTCCTTATGGAGGACACATTTCTGATAGGTGCTTGACATTACATACTAAGCACAAACCAGTTTCATTTCTGTATGAGCCTAGCAGATCTTGTGGAAGCTTAGAGTACTCGAAAGGTCTGCAATACTCTGCAAGAATTAATATTAAAAGTTTTTGGGGGGGATGTCATTCTTCAGTGTGCTGATTTTAAACTGAAAGAAATAAGCTGCCTATCCAGTCAGATCCTTTAAAGTGAAATAACTGGTATTTCCTTTCTGAAAAGGCTCTGGAGGCAGCCCTCCTGGTAGACAGGTACATACTAAATTTTAGATGTATTAACGAAGTCGGGAAGGCTAGACTTTACATTTTGAGTGGATTTGAAGCCCAAACAAAAATGTTAAAATAGAAACTTATATATTGCTTGAATATTGCTATATTCAAGAAGTTTTGCTTTAAAATAGTTCTGTTAGAGCAAAATAACTGGTTTCTTTTCTTTTTTTCCACACCCAGGGCTCATCATCTTCTGGAGGCAGCCAGTACGGTAGCCAAGTAAGCACTCATTCCAAAAGGAGAGCCACCTTGCCACTTTTGAAAACAATGGTTATTCACAAACTGAATTAAAATTCAGTTCTCATACAGGAACTATGTTAAAGAGCAAAACCTCAGTAAATGAAATTCATCATTGGGTTTGATATGTCCTAAAAATTATACATGATGGCTTTTCTTAGCAAATAATGCCCTTGTTTCTGTGAAATTTGTGTAAAGAAGCTCACACAAAAAATAGGTGTGGGGGAAGAATGAATCAAAATGTAGCATTTTTGATTTCTAGTGGACCTAATCCCATGAAGAAGAAAAACAAATCAAATCTCCCCTCTTTAAAGAGACAACTTCTTGTATGAGGTTTCAGTAAACTTGCTGAGTTTGGTTTTTAGAGTCCTGTTAGGTAGCCAATCTTTTACTGCAAGCTTTGGCCCAGGATTCAGCTTTCCAGATAGAGAAATGCCATTCTACAGAAATGAGCAGAAAAAGAACTTGAAAGAATGCTGCTCTAATCTTCCCAACAAGTCACACAAAGCAAGCAGGTTTTTTTGCCTTACACCCTTCCTTAGGAACTCAGGTATTTCCCCAAGTTGCCTTGTAAGGCTTGACCTCTAGTTATTAATCAGCTGCCTTCACTCTTACTTTGCTCCCTTGCTCCTGTTATTTTGGGAGCCCATGTTTTGATTTAAAGGAATCCTACAGCAGGTAATTCACTTATTTAATATTCTTTACAGGATTCATATTCCTCTGGAGCTAGCCAGTACGGTGGACACGTAAGCTCTTACTTTTAATATTTTATGTGATACATTTGCTTTACCATTATTTGACTCTTACCAAGTAAAGGATTATCCAGAAGGCTATATCAATTTAATATCTCAAGAAACTTTATAGTGATCTATTTTCTGTAGTAATATTGTGAATTCAAGGAAGACAAAAATATAGAGTTTATTCTGGGAAGATTACAAAGAAACAGTCAAATAACAAAATGCAGATGTCTTTGCTGCTTGTCACCATGAATAAGATATTCAGAAATAACTGATTTTCAATATTTTTCCAGGGGCCATCTTCTTATGGAGGCAGCCATTATGGTGGACAAGTAAGCATTAATAGTCCCCATTTTGTAGTTTTGACCTATGCAAACTTGTAGTATATTCATTTTCTATCCGGCTGTCTACCTTAGCTTTATTTATCTTAGTCTAAAATCTTATCAGTAAATCTTTCTCTATAGCATTGTGGTGCTACTGTGATTAAACAAAACAAGTTCAGATGAAAACAATTATTTAAGACTAAGAAAAAATAGAAATACGTGGTTGATTCAATGGGCTCATTAAATTTGCAGGACTAAAGATCGTGTCTTTCTGTAATAAATTAGTACTTCATGAAACTGACCAAATTTTTTAAAAGCCGTATGAAATGATTCTTTGACTCTATGAAATGGGTGTAAAGAAGTTTCAGCTTCCTTTTTTGTTGATATTCAGGGTTCACCTTCCTCAGGAGGCAGCCAGTACGGTGGACAGGTGAGAATACTTCCCTTGTAGTGTCTACTACTTTATCCAAGAGATTTGGTAATTCTCTATGTAAAAGAACATTTTAAGGAGATGGATTTAATTTTTTTCCCATGTCTTCTTCAGTTTATTGCTAGGTATATAGTAGTTTTAAATGTATGTGATACAATGCCACAGAAGAGTTTTTAGGAGATGCGATTTCTGATGCATCATGGTGAAGGCACGTCTCACTCCTTTTTGCACAGACTGGTTCAGTTCACTCAGTTTTGCAGTGAAATAAATTAGATATCTCTCCTTCACATGCAGTGTGGTTTAAAGGAGTGCTATGACATGGATGTAGAGATCATTTAATTCATTTTGTTCAGGGTTCACCTTCTTCAGGAGGCAGCCAGTATGGAGGACAGGTGAGAATCTTCTCATTTGTAGTCCTTATCCTAACACCCAGCTTCTACATCAAAACTTTGTATTTCTCTGTTGACTGAAAAAATGATTTGAGTAAACTCTTTTAATCTGGTAGTAGATGATCAGGTGTCTGAAGACATGATATGAAACAATACAAAAACTGTGAAGGGCCAGTGTTTCTGTTGTATCAGCAAATGCAGTTCTGGCCTTGTTTTGCTCTCCAACCTGCCCTTCTCATTCTGGACCCATTTCCCTTCTGCTGCTGTCATGGTTTCTTAGCTCTAACAGTATGGAGTGGCTGGAAGCAGATCGCATTCCCCCTCTATCTTAACCTGTGGAATACCTCGCTTTCTTCAGCAAAATGCAATATAAGAGTTGACATCAGAGAAGCAATATGCCTCAGGAGGGCAACAGGGGAGAAGGTCAGGAGTTGTAAAGAGCTCTTGCATGCCCTTGTAAAGTGAAAGATGATGGAGAGGCTTCCTAGTGCTGCCTCATGGTATAGCCTTTATTATGGACTGAAATCCCCAACAAACAAACCCCTCTGAAAACTTTTATTGTCAGATTTATTGGAGAGAATTAGTGGAGAAAGACATTTTCAGTCCAAACACAGTCTCCTGAAATGAGGTATATATTCCTAATAGCTCATGATCAGTATCACGGAAGATTCGTACGTTACAGACCATCCCTGGTTTGCACAGAACACATAAAGGAATAGGTTGAGTGTTCATCTTTCTGTAATCTTGCATTGTACAACAGAGAAAGAAAATAGTCTTTCTTTCAAAAACCCTTAAGAAGCTTTTTGATAGAGAAATAATTGACACCTTTACTTCAGGGTCCATCTTTCTCAGGTGGCAGCCATTATGGAGGACAGGTGAGAATTGGTTTTCTATTTATGGGTTGTTTTTTCCATTGTTCACCTTTCTCTCTTTTTCTGTTTTGTGAAAAACAGAGTATTTTATAAAAGGGTGGCTTACAGCAAAACAGTGTTTAGGCAGAACAGATGAATATACGACTTTCTGCTGTGTCAGTCCACTCAGGAAAGTAAAACATAGGAGGCTGCCCTGAGCACACAGCCCAGTGCAGCGGTGCTACTCACACCTGCCTGAAGCTGACTTTGATTTAAACTTTATTGTTCTGTTTAAAGAGTAGCCATTGTAAAGACCAATAGATTTCAGTACAGTTATACAGGAAGCGTTCACATTCCTGTGACACTTAAATCCATGAAGACAAATAAAAGTGTGTTTTTCTGTGACAGGTCATAAGTTAAAGAATGTGCAACAAATATAAATGCTTTCTCGTTTCTTTAGGGTATAGCCTCAGGAAGCAGCCAGTATAGTGGACAGGTAAAATTTCTACTTTCCTAGTATTTTCAGTTTTGGTACACAGTTCATAAGGAAAACTGACCTGTATTTTGGGGGAAAAAAAAAAGGGAACATTCTGAGAAAGTACAGTTTTTAGCCAAACTGAGTGAGGATTGCTAAGTTTGTGTCTGGTATGTCAGATCATGATATGAACAGGAGCCTGTGACTGCGTGGAAATACTTCCTTATAAAAATCATGGTTCAAAGAAGCCCATTTTTGTTCAGTTTGAACAGAAGCAATTTGAATGACTAATGACCACAGAGAACAAGTGAGAATATTACTCAGTAACACAGAAATAATTAGTTACTCGTTGTTTTTTTCAGGGCTATCCTTCAGGAAACAGACAGTCTGGTGGACAGGTACGGGTTTTTTTTATCCACACTATTCAATTGTCTGAGTGTCAGGCACTCACAATTTGCTCTGTGTATCTTTCCTTCACAAGAATTGTTTTCCTTCACCGCTGTCCTTTTTGCCCAAAGCCTCAGCAACATGTTCTTTTCTTTTTCCATGCCATTCAGACACCCCACAGGTCGTAGTAGTAGTAACTGTCTGAATGGCAGCTGCAGTTGAGCTAAACATTTTCCTTCTTACACATTTCATGGAGATTGAATGTGGAAAGTGAGACACTGAGTGGTGAACCCCTGGCCACCTCTCAGTTTTATCAGAGTAGAAATCACCTAGTAGGCCTCCACTGGAAATCATCTTTACTGTTTCCTATAGCACCTGTAGCATGAAAGAATACTGCATGTACTCCAGGTGTTCTGGCCTCTTTAGGAAAAAAAGAAAACCTAAAATATTTTCAATAGTACTACTCAGAATTTTTTTACTTATCTTTTTGGTGAGTAAAGTTTTTTCTGTAAGTTTAAAATGAGAAAATAGAAGACTATATTTAAAAATGTGATCAGTAAGCACACAGCTAACCTGAAATGACAGAGAGAGACATAAAACTGCTTTTTAGATGGAGCTTGGTGAGTCTATGGGCAGGATTTTATAGTCCATTTTCTTGCAGTAGCAGCATGTGAGTTTTATTTACTAATTCAGAAGTCTCTTCCAGTCATAGACTCAGGAAAATAAGTTTGGTTGTGTTTTATACAGGGTGGATGTGTGTGCCCTGGTGGAAGTTCAGTAAGTACTCTTTGTCTTTGTCTATTTTGCATAGTATGTACACATACTGGAAAATTCCCAAGGAACTACATTTCTTGAAATAATTTTTGTCTGTGAATTTATATGTATGATTAAAGTTTTTTTCACATTCTGCCAAAATGAGAAATTCTGAACCTGCTAAGGACAAAAACATTAAGTGACTTGCAACTGTAGTATAGCATTCAAAACTAGCTACCCAGATGCATTTCTATTTTGAAAGAAATACATGGGAAATGAATCGCAATTTCCCCACCCTGGATTAAACAAGTAGTAATGTTCTCCAGTATCTGTATTAAGGGAAGACTAGTCCTAATTCTGTAAAACATCCAGACATGAAAAACTGCTTCAAAGCATTTAATTTCTCTTGGTTTGCAAGAGAGGCCAGGGACTTTTCTAAGAACCTGTTTCCCAAGTATCTCATAGTTTATCTGCTGTGTAATAGTGCTTTTCTTATGATGGTTATTATCAATATGATTGAATGAGTGAAACTTAGACTTAAAATCTTTGCCCCAAATGCTTCCAAGTGGGAGCAGAGCAACACATTAAAAAAGTCAAAGCTAATTCCATTTTTCTGTCTAATTAGTGTATTCTCTATATTTTTGTAAATACTTCAAAAAAAAAAAACCCTTCAAAAAAAAAAACCCACCAAAAAACAAAACCCCCACTCTTTTGCTGAAATTAAGCTAATTTACTTTTGAGGGAGGGTTCAGTTATCTGTTGTTTCAGTATAGTCAAAATTGCGTAAATGATTATTTCTCTTTCTTGGATTATGAAATCAAGCAAAAGCCACATGCTCTAAGTACCACTTGTGTATATGCCACTTCTGATTCTCAACAGTGCTGAAAACAACATATAAATTATCATCTTACTTCTCTTTGCAAGTAAATAATCTGAAGGAATAAGGATGAATGGAAACAAAATCCTTAACTTGTTTAGTATACCTTTCTACTTGGTTGATTAATAATCAGTGCAAATGACTTGATCATTTCAATAGGTCAATGTGTCCTCTTATTTTTCCTCTCTATGATGTTGAATTCAGTACAGAGTAAATATTGTTATTTTCCTTGAATACAGGGCTCTTTTGGAGGAAACAGCTACCATGGTGGTGGACAGGTAGACAATTTGTCTTTAACATTTACACAGATTATCTCCTCAGGAATAAACATGGCTCAGTTGCCATATTTGCCATTAAATATTGAGTTCAGTTTAGTCACAGAGATAGGAACAATAACTCCAGAATGTTCATCTGGCTTAAAGTAATTGAATTACTCTTGATCTTTCTATATACTAGTCAAGATTTTACTTTGTAGTTATAGCAGCTTTTTTACCTCAAAAAAGTACTGAAGAATAATTCACAGGATTCATCTTACTGCATAAACCACTAATATGATGTATGGATAAGTAGCCATTTGCCACTGCATTAATAATTGTTTAAAGCTCTTCCAGTTCTTCTCTTCATGAGTGTTTAGATTAGGTATAGGGGGTTTTTGATACCAGATGGTATTTAAGAAAATTATTTAGAAAAATTCCACATTCTTTTTACAGGGTTCATCTTATTCTGGAAGCAGTCAGTATGGTGGACAGGCAAGTAACTTTTCTTTGTTTTCAAGATGATCTTCCTACTTGCTATTTATGAAATGAAAAATATGATGCAGTGTATATACTGCCAGTCAGTTTTTCAGTGTCATTTTACTCTGAATAACTATCTGAAAACAGGGACAATTTCTCAGTAATTAAAATGGAGTAGCATGGACAAACTTCAGTTTAATGAAACTGCACAGATCATAACTTTAGGTTTTTTACCTCAGAACACCTCTTATCTCAAGTGATAATTTTAATTAACCACTTTTATGTTTCAGTTTGACATTGCTATCACACCAGTTCAAAATCTATTTTCTGTGTTATTTTTTCAATTATATTGAAATTATCCCTTTTTTTGGGTGTTTGTTTAGATTAAATACTTGTAAATTTGGTTCAAAATATACCAAAAGGTATTGCTTTGAAAATATAAATTCTGGTGTGTTACCCATAATAACACTACTTTCCCCATCCTCAGCTGCAGTTCGAGTCCCTTACTGTAAGCAGCTCCCTATGTACCTTGTGTAGACTTAGCTTGTCACTGATCACGAAATCTTACTAGCCCAAAGAGATGTAACGGACGGCTATCTAATAAGAAGGTGGAACATATTTTTCATTAGTATTACACTATTCGCAGTGTTTCACTCTGCTATACTAAAAAAATAATTTAATTTCTTTTTACTCCATTGGCAGGCATTTGAGTTCAGTATCACTCTTAGCAAGAAGATCATGTATTATTGCATGACGAGGATTTTAAAAGCTGCAAACCACTTTTTTTCCGAAATGGCTCATTTGGAATAATAAGGATGCTCTTACAATAGAACACATGATGCTCTCTGAACATGTTTGACCTCTCAGAAAATCATAAATAAAGCAGATTTTTTTTTCTCTTGAACAGAGCCATATTTAAAGACACTTTATATCTGTATATTTATGTCAAAGAATAGTCTTAGCAGGTGTTTTGTGATTGTTTGCCAAATTTACTACTTTGAACTGTTAGGGAACTTAGCGGAATTAAGTCAGAAGTCTTTCACTGCACCTTTTTTACAGAGATCTCCTGTCAAAAACTGTCTGGATCAGGTCAGTTACTTGATGCTGAAAGATACATTCATTTGGCCCTTTTACTGAGCTTAAATAATTGAGGTAATAGCAATTAAGGCTGTTTCAGCAAGCTGAATAAAATAATTTGTTACAATTCCTACAGTAATTCCTACACAGAATTACTGCTGTGTAAAACTTTAATTGCTATACTGTATTTCATAACGCTGCATTCTTGATTCAGAATAACAAATTGCCATAGTTTTCATGTGCAGTAGATGGCTTAAGTTTTAGGTTGTTCAAACAACACCCAAATAAGTTTGTCCTAAGTAATGCACAAATTGTCTCAAGATAGTAAGCAAATTTTTTTTTTTTCATTCAATTAATAGATGTTTGATTGATTTCTTACAGGGCTCTTATCCTTCTGGAGGCAGACAATATGGTAAACCAGTAAGTAAAAAAAATTCAGTTTACTTTTCTTTTTTCTTATACATCTGTTTATATGCAGTTAGTTTGGACTAGGTATCTTTCTGATAATTACTTAAATATGCAAAGAGTCACATGATTTACTTATCTCAACAAATGCAAATATTTATTTTCACACTGTTCCACAGTTTTCAGCCAGCATTTTATTCTGTAACTGAACTTTTACGTCAGTCTCTGGATTGGTTCTAGTAATCACAGAATGAGATTACAGGATCTTCATTACTTTTTTTGTAGGGGACTTCTGAACAGTTATTTCTGTTGGAATTCATAGTAATTGTCCGCTTTGTGTTCAGGGCTCACTTTTTTTCATAGATTTTATATCCATTTGTCTTAAGTATTTCTGGCTAGAAGAGAAGCTTCTGCTTTGAAGAAAATTTTTTTGTTTTCTTTTTGAAGACAATAATAGTTGACATTTAACTAGGCGTCTTTTCGTCTTGTCCCACTTCAGACCACTTTTTTTATTATGTAATGAAAACCTTGCTCTTGCTGTCATTCAATGGCAGGTGATATAAATAGGCACACAAACTGTTTTAGTTTATCTCTTACAGGAAATAAGATGTATCCACCTGTTATTAAAAAGTGGGCACAAATGTTATATTTTCTTATTAGTGAATCATAGAAGTGAGACATGGTGTGTGCCATATTTGATGGCATTTCTTAAAGAGTCAGAGCTTGTAAGAGTTCTGTTTGGCAATGCCACTCAAATAAGCAGAGCAACTTTGCCAGAAAACTGAGTAAGACTCTTGTAGAACATCTAATTTTTCAATATATATATCCCCCCCCCATCTAACTGTAGACTGATTCCAGGTGAATTAAACTTTTATTGGATCTTATTATTTTTCCTTTCTGTATAATAAACACATTATAACTACAAAATAGCTCTTTCTTCTTGAGAACTTAAATTCTCTGACTAATGCATCATTCAAAAGAATGGTTGTAATAGAAAGATGTTAAATATTTGTATTTCGGAGAAGCTTTTCCCTAGGATTTTTGGATGACTGGACACAAAATAGTGTTCATTCTCCTGTGGTCCTTTATTCCAAATAACAAGAATATATCAAAGTACTAATAGGCTTAGATTGGAAAACGGATATCTTTTTTCAGGATTCATCTTCCTCAGGAGGCAGTCAACAAGGAAAGCCAGTAAGGATATTTTTCTTTCAGTATTCCACAACCAAAGTAGAAATGTGGATATTGGTATTTAAATAGGTAACAATAATGAGGGTGAAATTTAAAATTATGCTACAATGGTAAATGTCTGAGAAAAATGACCAATAAAAATTGGAATATTTTGTTCAAATTCATTCCTCCCATAGCAAATTTTTTATATACTCTGTAGCTTACTCATAGGAACATGCTTGGATTATTCCATTAAGAATGTTGTATTTAAATATCAGGATAACTGTTTCAGTTTCGAACTTTGTAGTTCAGTCAATGATACATTTCTTTCAAAATCCTTTGAAATTGTTCATGGAATACAGAGGATGTAGCTGTGCTTACTTGAGATGATTCAATGAAAATAGGGAAAAAAGTCCAATGAAAAAGTCAAAAGTCAGTGAAATGAATGAAATGAATGAAAAATCAAAGTCAGTATCAAAACTACTAATACCTAGGGCATTTTCAAGACCACTTTGTGCTCTTTGGACACAATTCACTAAGAGTCTCGTACAACAAAAATAAATGATTTATAACTATTTTACAGGGCGGCTTTGCCTCAGGAAATACTTATTCTGGGAAACCGGTAAGAATATTTTCAACACAGCATTTTCATCTTCTTTTCTTAGTAAACAAAGAACCCGGGTGGTTTCTAGAGCAATTTCGGGATGATTTGGTCTGAAGAGAACATTCTGTATTACTTCCATTTGTGTTAGAGCATACTTTAAAAAAACACTGTGGAAAATACGGCCTCACCCTGGGAAAGCTATTTCATTATGTTACATTTTAAACCTGAATCCTTCTTGCTTCACATACCAGTTAGTGGCCTTGTTACACTCTGCTGTCCTCTATTTTTAAACTCCTGTTCTCTGTGTAGATTTTTATAGGCTCGGCTCAGTTAATTTTTTTTTTTTTGATAAATCTAGATTCTTGAGGTTTTTTTACTGGCAAGTTACCTGGTTTTGCACTTTTTTTCTCTCTGTTTTTTCCCAGTACTCATCAGCTTTTAACATCCCCTTTCAACTATAGGGATGGAAAACTCTGTATGGAATATGTTAGTAGAATGAGAGAAAAATAGACTTTTCCCTTTCTTTAATTATAGCTGAAATTTTCAAATGTAAGATGAGACAGAGTATGTAACTAAAACTATTTACTTTATGCAAAGCTACTTTCCTCTCGAACAACTTAAACCTGTGCTATGGGTTATGCTACTGAAATTCTGCTGATCACAGGCAAAACTGTGTTCAAAACCACTGTGTGGGAACATTTCTAGATTTCTTTGTTTGTTTGTTTTCAGAATTCACCTTCCTCCGGTGGCAGTCAAGTGGTAAGTACTTTTCCTCTTGTAGTTTCTACTGGTTTCTTTCTATACATACTGTAGGAAACTGAAAGTATTGCTTATACTGTGAGGTATCTGTCAGATTTCCTATATATGAACAAATGTTTGAGAGTACATGTGCAACATAATAAAGGGGAATAGTAACAAAAATGAGGAAAACTTGAAAACTGAACAACTATAGGTGTACTATAGGTGTGGCATCAGAAATGTCTACATAACAAAAGGGGCTGATAGGAAAATATTTCTCTGAAACTTTCTATGCTTTTATAACAGTAATAAATTGAGCTATTTTGAATTTTGTTTATCAAATTGCTCTCTTTTTCCTTTTTTTTTTTCACAGAGCTCTGCTGGGAAACACTCCACTCCCCAATTCCTGCTGCTATTCAGTGTTTTGAGTGCCTTTGCTCTCGCTGCTGCTACATCAAAATGGTCTATATGAACTTCTGAAGAGTTGCTTGGCATCCTAGACATGGATTATATTTAGTAATATTAGATTAATTACTTAATGTAAGGAAAAAAAAATACCCTTATTGGCAGATGCTACTTGGCTGTTACGTTGTATGTCTAGATAGTATGTCATGCTTCTCATTAGTTTACCTTTGGTTTTAGTCATTAGTAGATGTCATTAGTTTTGTCAGTGTTTTAGGCATCATCTTAAGAGAGCATATTGTACCCTACCTATATGATTTATTTTTGGTTTTATTTCCAATGGGGAATGTGATGGACACCTACCTGAATTCTGATTGGTTCAACAAACAAATACTTAGAAAATACTTGGTTATTAACCAAAGTGGAGGAGGTCAAACAAATTGTATATGCAAACTGAGCACTGTGCCTGGTCATCTTTGCATAAAACAAGGCTAACATAAACATTTGATAAGCAGCCCTCCATGGGACAGAAGAAAAGATGCTAAAATAATATCAGAGTATTGGTTTTAGTTTACTGTGATCAAATGCAAGTTCAATATGGAGGTTACAAAGCAAAATAAAATATTCCATGGGACTGAAATTTTTGTGGATTAATTAAAACTTTGTTCATTAGAGAAGCCAAACTGCTCCAATCAAAGAAATACTGAACTCTGTTCAAAGCGACTGCAGATACCTAAAGTTCTGTAGAGAAGCACATGAGGTAACACACCCCAGATGAGGCATAGTGTAAAAGCTGCTGAAAAACAACACATTTTCCCCTGGGAAGGAATGGAAATTTAATTAAATTCATATAACTGATAGTATCTTGGCTCCTTTTCTTAAGTCTTTAGTCTAACCTGTGGTACCCAATACACCTGCAAGTTTAATTTCAAGAACAATGCTGACGTCTTGCAAGCAGGTACAGTAGATGCGGTCACAGAAAGACCATGCCCCATTTTTGAGTTCAGGAGCAGCTTCACATCTTGCAGCAAACTCTTTGGGAGCTGCCAGAGCCACCATCTCTTCATGCAGTGACCATTGCAAGTGGTGCTGTGTCCGTTCTCCAGCAGCGTTGGCCATGGGCTGACCTCCCTTGGTGTTAACAATGTGCATTCTCCTCATCAACGTCTCATCGAACATGTGCCTAGTGTTAGAACTGCATTTATTAGCAGTGTGCTTGTCTCCCATGGTTTACAATTGTAATTGATGAAATAAATGTCCATTCACGTTCTGCTGCCAGTGTCAGCAGGGCCAGGATTTCACCCATTTTTCTCTCTCATGTGACACACAGTGCAGGACATAGGGTCCTTTGCCAACCATCAGTAAATCAACCGAAATATCTGAAGCTGTAATTGAAGCATAAAGGAGTTTTGCCTAAATACGATCTTCAAAATTTGCCACGCAGTTTGTTTCTTTGGAATGGTTCTCTGTGAGAGGTCCATATCTTAATTCGAACTAGCCTTGCACAGCTCTAATAAATGTATCACGGATTTCATACCAAATACTCGTGTCGTTCGCTGCAGGAATACCCCAATTATACCCCACTTAAAAGACTTTTTTCCGGCGAGACACGCCCTGTCCCCCTGAGGGAACCGCGCTCCCTGCACGGCGGCCGCTGTGGTGGCGCCGGCCCCGCGCGCAGCCCCTCGCGCCGCCCCCCCTCCCAACGCCCGCTGAGGCGGCCCGAGCCGCGGCGCCAATGGCGGCGGCAGCGGGAGGCGGCGGTGCGGGTGGGTAACGCTGCGTTTGGAACGGGATCCCTCCTGACCCGGCCGCCGCCGCTCCGGCCACCCAGTATTGACCCCACAGCCCTGTAGATACCGCTGCGCTGCCCGCCGCGGCGGCTCCGGGGCCGGTGACGGGCTGGGCGCGCTGCTTTGCCGCGGCCCTGGGAACGGAGCGGGCGGGGCCACGGCTGCAGCCGGAGCCTTAGCGGGACGGGACCGCGGCACCCGGAAACACCGAGCGGAGCCGGCGGCGAGGGGCGAGCTGGGCCGGCGGCAGGGTGCTGCAGGTGGGAGGCCCGGGTTGGGACCGGGAGGAGCAGAGCCCTGCTGAGGCCGCCCCGGAGGGAGCGGTGAAAGGGTTATGGATGAGGGAGGAAGCCTGAGGGAGGCCCTGGGTGTGGGAGAGGGAGACGCGTGGGGTTGGTGGATGGAGTGGGAAGCAGGGCTGTGGGAGCAGCCTGGGGAGGGGGAGAGTGGGATTGAGGAGATAATGAGAGAAATGTCGGTAAATGGAACGGTCGGAGGAAGAGGGAGGGAGGGGAAGGGAGAAGGAGAAGTTACTGTGGGGATTCAGCTGTCTGTGAAGTTGGCAAGAGATACTGGTCTGGTCAGCATTTGTGTCATTGCTAAGGTTGTGGCTCACTTGCTGGGTTTCTTCTAGGTGTAGGTGTGGCTGGTGCTCTGCTGAGAAGGTGCTCACTAGGCTTGAAATAATGCTGTATGTGGAGTTAACAGAAATGCACACTTCATGAGTATTTTCATGGCATCACAATTTCGTCCTGAGTTTTTGATGTGAGAAACAAACACCCTAGCAGTACAAAGCTTATGGGTTAAGTCAGAAAGCCAGAAGATACAGAGATAATGAAGACAATGAGATAATACATATTATAGAATAGACTGGAAGGTAAAAAATAAATACCAAAAGGTACTCTAAGGTCTTTTGTTTTATTGAATCCTATAAACTATATTTTAAAACAGAGTGGATATCAGACTTTAAATCAGACTTGGATACCAGAGAAAAGATTTTTAAGGAATGATTGGGTGGAGAAGACTGAGACTGCTTTCTGCAGTGGAGGGATGTGTTATTTGGGACATAAAGAACTTTTGCAGCAAACCTTTCAAAAACTGAGTGAGCACCACAGTGGGAAGCGTATCTGCCCCAGTGTTCCCTAAACAGGAGAGTTGGGATCTAAGGCAACCGTCGCTTTTCAAAGAACATACATGCAGGCTAACAAAACGGGGTTTAGAATGAACACTAGATGACTGACTGCTTCTCCCAAAATCTGTGGAGTTGCCTTTCTCCATAGGTACTGCACCTCAAGGATCATCCGATCCAATCTTTCTTGGCAAAAGCACAGTCTCGACGAGATGGCCCAGCACCCTGTCCACTTGAATCTTAAAATCGTCCAGTGTTGGGAACAATAACCTCTTCCTATAGAAACTAACTCATGATTCCCTTGTACGCTGTTAGGCATCGTGAAAACTTGTGATTGAAAATTACAGTTATGGGAGATAAGGATCCATTGGTTTGGGAGTTGTGATGTTCTGGTTTGTAGAAGTAGAATGTGTAGCAAAAGTACTGGTTTTGGGAAAGGCTGTGGTGGCAGTAAGTATAAATTTCTTTATATGAAGCAATGTATTGTTAGGAGTGATTCTGTGTCTTCAACAATGCTACAGACTACCTGCACAGCCTAATTCCTTATGCTAGTTATGCTGCTGTTTGCAATAACAACAAAAAGGCAGGGATCGTTTGAACCAGGTACCTAAGGAAATCAAATCATATGTATCTGCTTAAAGCAGTTCCAGATTTGACAGTGTTAAGTGAGGGCAGCACATTCTTGATCTTTGGGACAGGCTTGATGAATATAATTATTCCTCTCTTATTAATCTTGAATTGCTTGTTACCTATCCTTATTCTTCACCAATTACCTCATTTCATATCCATATGCATACTGTTTGTGCAGGCTCAGTGCCTTCATTGGCACTCAGGAGGCTGCACAGCTGGATCACATCAATAGAGGGTGTCTCTAGAGGGGTGGAGGAGTTATTAAGGTCTGGACCTTTTATAGGATCTAGCATAGTAGTGTAAGATGGCTAGGAGTTCAGCATTTTCCCCTTGAATTTTTGTACCTTCTTGTCTTATACCCCTGGAGTATACTGTTCAGATGTCTAATTTTATTTGTAATTACTAGCTTTCTGCAATAAGTGTCTACAGATTTATTTTCATTGTAGTTATCTGGTCTGTGTTTTCTGCTCAAACTAGGTCACCTTGACTGAGGGTGGCTGCATTGCCTTGGGCACCCAGACTTGATTAGTAATTCATAAATAGCACAAGTGTAAGCTGTAGCTGAACCTCAGCCATTTTCAGTCTTTAGTCTTTTAGCACCTTAAATGGAGCTCCTCCATGGTCTTGATACATCTGCAGGAGTTGCATTTGGGCAGTGCTTCATGGTGTTCACGCCTGTATGCTTGAGGAGGGATGGGCACTTGAGCTCAAACAGAACTGAATGCCTCCTCCCTTACGGAATCTGAATGTGACTACTAGGATCTTTCAATACTGTGATCTATACAATGAACACAGTGTATGTACTGTTTGCAAAAGAGAGAGGCAGGTAAGGCCTCAGTTAGGGTGGTATTAAATTTCCATGCTGGCAGGCAGCGTGGATGTTATGTCAATATAAAGCTATTGCACTACTGTGCACATAGTTGCAGTCTTTATCATACAAGAAATACTGGTGTTAGATTCAGCTCAATGAGGACCTGAATTTCCTGAATACTGAATATTTATACTCAATATGTGATTTCTTTAATATTCATCAAACCAAATTCTCATCAATCAAACAAATCTTATCTTTGTATTCTTAGGTTTGGTGCAAAGGTTTAAGGGTGAGGTGAGAAGGAGGGGCCTTAAAGAGCATTTAGTTACAAGTTTTACGTATAAGATTCACAACGCCCAACATTTCCTGCCTGCTATGTTCCTACCAGATTAGAATGGTGATTTTTTTTTTCCCAAAAAAAGAAAAAAAAACCCACAACTTTGTGAGATCATAAAGAACCTCAGCAGCGTTAAGTTCCCTTTCTTCTAGGTTTTCTGTCAAACTGGTTGAGACTTGGGTAAAGTCGTCTTACAATTTATAGCATTGTCTGAAATAGGTGTTAGTTAATACGTAATTGCATTCCCTTTGTTAGACGTGGCAATGGTGGAATTTCATGTTTGAGTGAATTACTGATACAGCCTCCACTATCCTTAGCAAAAGCCTAGGTTCTTGGAGCAAAGTTGAGAAGAAATTATTGGTTGATCTTTAGCAGTTACAATTTAATGTGTAACTGCTTTGTGCGTAAGTGCAGTTGCCAATGTTGAAAGCATCTGTGTTATTTTAAAAAGACCAAGATGGGGTTGTGACTGGGGAGCAAGGTCCACCAGTGTTCTACTGAATTGTACTTGATATCCTTGTCATGAAAATAATATTTGAATACAGTAATGTTTTTAATTTTTTTCACTAGTTAACAATTTTTTTTTAATGTAAATGGAGAAATTGGAAATACTGCCTGGAGGAAATCTTTATGTGAAAAAGATCTTTGTTGCTCAGTTTCTGCTAGAAGAGTAAGGAAAAAACTTTGCTAGAGGATTTGCTTTTAATAATACTTCTGAAGAAGAATACAAGCTCTAAGAAAAACATAGCTTTTTTTTTTTTCTGTAGTGTACTAAATCCACATTATAATGTATTCAGCAAGAAGAATGAGTAACAAACTGAAAAACAAAAAAAAAAGCAAGGTAAGTTTTTAAATGATGGAATGATGGCTTATGGGAGGGAACAGAGAAGAAACCTGTATCAAATATGACAAAGATGGACAAGATTGTGACATGTTAAAACATAGAAGGAAGTCTTATAAAAATAGAGTCTTCAAGTTCCGTGAGGTAGCTCTTGCTCCACCTTCCAATTGTGCTTTTCCTTTTTCTTGCCAGCTTATTATATTTGTACAGGCATAGCATCGGAACTGGGTTCACATTTCACTTAAGAAATACAAGAACACTATCCTGTGTCCTTAATCTGTTGTCTTGATTTCAAAGCAAATGCCCAGGAACTGTGTGCATACCTGTTCCACTGGAATGAAATAGTATGCCTTACTTTACTCTCTGTTTCTCATTCTTAAACTTGACCTTTTGCAGTTTTAAGAGGCTGGTTGTCTGCTTATGTTTGGCTTTGTATTTTAGCTAATGTGGAAGTGCCTTTTGGTTAAGCAGTCTTTCCTTAACATTGCACAAAATTATGTTACTATAGATATTTAGCAGCCGAGAAGCTCAAAAGTTTATAGCATCAGATCTTTAAAAGACAAAATCTTAAAGTTAAGGAAAGTGCTGTAATGTTCTTGTTGCTCATGTAGTAAATCCTGATTAATATTAGTGAGTTTTGTTAAGAATAGATAGAGGAAAATATATATGGTATGATTACTGTTCATTAAGTCAAATTGATTATGTTCCTTTTGGTCTAATGTATTTGATCTGCAAACATTAGAATTTAGTGGTATTTTAGGAGGTAAAGTGTAGGGATGATTTAAAAATAAAATGTAAAATATGAAATTTTAGCCTGTGGTGGAGAAATTACTAAAGGGGATGAAAATCTGCAAGTCAGAAATTTATTCATTTTGTATGAATTAATATTATGAAATGGAAATGTGTGAAGTGAGGTTCTTTCATCTGGAGAAAAAGAGGCTGAGGAGATACCTTATCACTCTCTACCACTACCTGAAAGGAGGCTCTAGCAAGGTGGGTGTCCATCTCTTTTCCTGAGTAACAGGAAACAGGACAAGAGGAAATGGACTCCAGTTGCGTCAGGGGAGGTTTCAGTTGGATATTTAGAAAAATCTCTTCACTGAAAGGGCCATCGTGCATTGGAACAGGCTGCCCGGGGAGGTGGTTGAGTCACCATCCCTGGAGGGATTTAAAAGGCGTGCAGATGTGGCACTTAGGGACATGGTTTAGTGGTGGACTTGGCAGCGTTAGGTTAAGGATATGGACTCAATGATCTTAAAGGTCTTTTCCAACCTAAATGGTTCTATGATTCTGTGATTTTCCATTTCCATTGAATAGATTTGCACAGATGATACTTTGAGCTGAATGTATTACTTCCCATGTAGACTGCCTTGTTTTGTTTTCCGAGTCTGTAAAACCTTTCATGGGTTCCCTTCCTTTAAGGAGAACAACTCTTCACGCAGTACCCATCTGCATTTTATCATGGCTGTAAATACCATCTTGGCTTCTTGCATGTTGACTTCCCGTATAGTCCTGCCTTTAATTTCTTTCCTTGCCTTCCATATTGCCAGCTGTAGGGTGTGTCTACATGGTACACTGAATGAACTACACATCAGTGATTTACTTTTCTTTTAACCTAACTAATAAAAGAGAAGAATGATGAGCCTGGTCACTAAGTTAACAGATGTGACAGGCTACATTACAGTCAGTGAGTTGCAGGTACTTAGCACCTCTCACTGTAAGATAGAGATCAAAAGTCACTGAATTAATGTGACCACTCAACTTATAGTCTTTGAATTAGCAAACCTAAATCTGATTTTTGGAACAGGTGCATCCTGCAGAGTACTAAGTAGTCTGTCCAAAGCCCAGTAAGAAATCTAAGCCTGGTTGTAACTCGGTACAGGAAGTGCACTGGGAATTTTCATTTCATTATTGGTTTAAGACAATCAAAGTGTGGCTTGTTAATGAAGACAATAGTTCATTTAGTATATGACTGCCCAGTCTGTTAGAGTGAGGGTAGCAGGAGATTGTGTCTAGAAGGGTCACACCTCCAGTAGGAATCTGTAAATCTAAACCTGCTGTGAAACTGCAACTGAAGACAATTAAACTTTCTGAAGGTCAGTACTTGGCTCCTCTTCCCTGTCTCCAGTTTGTATTGAGTTCTATGAACTGATACGTGGCTCTTTTAAAAGAAAGAGAGAGAGGTGGGGAGGGCGGGCTGATAAGATATTATGTGTGCTCGTTAAAGGGTGGTTATTTTATTGACATAATAAGTTTTAGTTCCTGGTCTGGGAACCAACTATTTGCAAGTACAGCATGAAACTTCACACGCTTGTTCTCTACAAGCCTGTCTTGCTGACCACTGACAGCTATTGCACTGGATGCTTAAAGTTAATTTTGTGTGGATTTTGGAAAGTCTGAAACTGGATTACTGAATTGCGGTAAAGAAATATGTTCTGCTACTGGCACCTTTTTGAGACACATTGCCTAGCAAGTTTCCCTTTTTTATCATGACTACTAATGAAGACAAGACTGTAGTTCAAGAAGATATTGTGGTATGTATTCCTTACGGATTTGCTGGTGGGTTTATTAAGCTCTTGCGCTTGTTGGTATGTTTTCATGCTGAATGCTCTCATAGTTGCTCATAAACAAGGTATTGGTGATTTACTTCTAAAATTACATTTCAAGCTGCTTAGTAAACAGATGGTTGTATTTCAGCAAGAAATTAATGTGAACATTATTTTCTGATATTGTGACCTATTTTCAAGGTTCAGGAATTGATCTCTGAGAATTTTGAACATTTGTCATACCCTTTGTCACTTCACAGGCTCACAGAACGCAGAAATTTGGGTCTGAGTTCAGGAGAGATGTGTGTTCCCATTATCTCTATTTTTTTCAGAAACATTTTGAAAACTGAAACCCAAAAAGTTTAAAAACTTATTTATCTGTAAGTGTGCCTTCATGAAATTCGGTGTTGCTCATCTTAACTATATATTGCTCTTTGTGTTTCCAGATTGTCAGGTCTCAATACTAAAAAATTAGATAGATGGAAAAGGTGGAAGAAATTGTTTGTGCAAGTTGGCTCACATAAATATGTTTTACAGTGTCAGTTTTCTCCAGTAGCACGGGCAGACCTTTTCATAAAGTTCAGTTCTGTATTTTCTCTCTCTGAATTTTTTTCTTTTTTCTTTCTTTACCTTTTTCTCCCTCTGTCTTCTCTATGCTGATGATATTTCTCCAGAGTATTATCTCTGACATTGCATATCCCCTCTTCATCTCTTTCTCCTCCTTGTTCTCAGCTACAACAAATTTGCTCTTCAAAGATGTTCCTGTGACTAATTGATCTTCTCCATTTTGTTGTTGAGGGTGTGTAAGTTCACAGTTAGCATCCTCATGTAAAGGTTTATTCGAACAGAACCTGTGGAAAGAGTTAGTAAATCTTGAACCTTGTCTGCAGCTTTCTTCTCCTTCATGCTTTACATTTCTGTTTGGTTTATGTTGTCCGTTGCAATTGCATCTATAGTGTTTTGTCTCTTCAGCAAGTTAAATTAGATCATAGTTCATACAAAAGTATCTTCTATTAAAATTCCCTAAAGAAATCCTGGTGTATTTCTTCCTTGGTTTCTGCATCTTGGCATCTTTTTCTTCCTCCTTTTCCAATAGCCTTTTACAAGTATTTTTACATCTATATGATTCTTGAGATAAACAATTTTATTGTGTAGGATACAAGTATGCATTTGTTATCTCTGTGGCAGTTCATGTATTTTTGCAGGCTACTGCAATGTCTCTTAAGTATCCATGTCATATAGGTGTTAATTTGCCTTCTTATACCTGACTGGAGAAAATCTATTAATGCTTAGAGACAAGATAAAGGCATGTCAGAAATACTTGAATAGCACAGCTCTTTAGATTTCTGAAAAAATAGCAGTAAAAATTGTTACGAAATGCATCTTAAGCTAGAGAAATGCGGTCAGCAAGAAACAGCTTCAGTTTCAGCTACAAACATTTAGAGGCACCAGCACATCCTTCAGCAGTGTGTACAAAACTAGATAGTTAATGAGTCAAAACTTGTCTGTCTGTAGGTGTACAATATGCATAGGGACAGCTTTGGCATATGCATCCAATAATTACTGCTTATGCCATCTCTAGACTTCTAAAAGTGAGAACCACATTCATTGTCTTGACTTGTTACTGTTTTTCAGTAACAAGTTTTTTTGTCCTGCACTAAGTGAATGTTTTAATTGGTGACAAAGGGCAAAGAAAAGCATGACAGCTTAATGAAAGGTCATGGTAAAGATAAGAGTGATACAGCTTTACTCAACTGATTTTTTCTGAGCAGGATAATCGGTAGGACAAGTTTAGTGCTGTCTCCCCTGCAGCTCCCACGTCACAGAATCTTCTAGGTTGGAAGGGACCTTAAAGATCGTCTTGTCCAACCGTCAACCTAACTTTGACAAAAATAAACACCCACACAACAAAAAGCAACACCATCACTAAACCATATCTCCCAGCACTACATCAACACGTCTTTTGAACACCTCCAGGGATGGTGCCTCAACCACCTCCCTGGGCAGCCCATTCCAATGTCTGATAACCCTTTCGGTGAAGAAATTTTTCCTGATATCCAGCCTGAACCTCCCCTGGCGTAACTTGAGGCCATTTCCTCTCGTCCTGTCGCCTGTGACCTGGGAGAAGAGACCGACCCCCACCTCTCTCCAGCCTCCTTTCAGGTAGTTGTAGAGAGCAATAAGGTCTCTCCTCAGCCTCCTCCAGGCTGAATAACCCCAGCTCCCTCAGCCTCTCCCCATAAGACTTATACTCCAGACCCCTCACCATCTTTGTTGCCCTTCTCTGGACCCGCTCCAGCACCTCAATGTCTTTTTTATGGTAGGGGGCCCAAAACTGGACACAGCACTCGAGGTGGGGCCTCACCAGTGCCGAGTACAGGGGGACAATCACCTCTCGGGCCCTACTCGCCACGCTGTTCCTGATACAGGCCAGGATGCTGTTGGCTTTCTTGGCTACCTGGGCACACTGCTGGCTCACGTTCAGCTGACAGTCGACCAACACCCCCAGGTCCTTCCTATCTAACGTCTTCCTATCTAACCCTACTTTCCCACAACTCTCCTTTGCCTTCAGCATCAGGCATACCTCTCCCTTTCATTTAAAGCAGCCCAAATATCACCCTGTCTTATACTGGCACTGTGTCATCGGGCAAGGCAGAAACTGCAATCTGTAAAACTTTGGAGAGGTGGAAGAATGGGAAGATCCCTTCATTCTAGGAGTAACTCATTGCAGCAGGGCTGGGCATTCAGCAGTACCACAGCGTGGGGCCTTTTCACTTTGAAAATATCTTCTGAGCCTTTACCTACATAAAGGAATCCATGATTGATTTAACTTGGGAGACTTCTTTTGTGAAACCTGTTACTGGGAAGCTGATTATCAGTTAATAATCCTTATTTTACTTTATTAGTCTTACAGATAATAAATATTCCGTTTCTCTATTAGTTATCACTTCTTCTAATATTCTGATATCCTCCATTTGTAATCATGTATTTGAAAAACACTTTAAACTGTTAACTCCTTTTTCTTTTTAAATATCAGATTAGGTTTGTTGTTTTCCTTTGGTTGAGCTCCCTGGGCAACATTTTTTAATATGCTGATTCCTAAGGGAAACATCTATTTGTAATACTAGCTTTTAAGCCTCGGTTTGTGTTTGGTTTTGTTTTTTTTTCCTGTTACAGGAAGAAAAAAGTGAAGAAATGTCTACCAATTTAAAATACCTTTCCTTGGGCATCCTGGTTTTTCAGACCACAAGTTTAGTCTTGACCATGCGTTATTCTCGGACACTGAAAGAAGAAGGACCTCGTTACTTATCCTCTACTGCAGTAGTTATTGCTGAACTTCTGAAGATTTTGGCCTGTGTTCTATTGGTCTACAAAGACAGCAGTATGTGTCAAATTTTGCACCAAGTAATTTTCCTAATCAATATGCTGTATTGTAGTGGCAACTGCAAATCAGCCATGTGAGTACAGGTGTGCAACAAAGCATTTCCCTTCTCATGTAAGAAATAGTCTTGGAAAGACACTAATCATACTTCACTCCTCAACACGTGACAGAAGATATTGTGTATTTGTTGAAGAGAGTTTTCTTTAAAGAATGTGGATACTGAGGAGTGCAAGGATAATTTTTCTACTAACAGCTTGAAGATTGTGTTTGCTCAGGCATTTTAATAAATTAGTATGTAGAAATAGGAAAGAATGAAAAGCTTTAAGTGTGTCCAAAGCATGAATGATGATTTAGAAGCCTATATTAAACAGGAGATGCAGAAGGGGAGGAAGCAATTTCATTACTACAGGAATAAGCACAGTTTTAAGCTCAAAAAAAAAAAGTATATTCAGATTTTCTCAAGTTCTTATTTTGTACATTTTATACTGAATTTATCCGGTTTCTTGACACATATATTTGATCTTCAGGAGCTTAAAAATATTGTATATGCGTAAATATTGATGACTTTGTAAGCTCCTACATATGCATTTTTAGGTGATACTCTTTAATGTATCATCTTCAAATATTGATATGGTTTCAGTAAGTTTTGCTTAAAATATTTTGAATAATTGTTCTAGTTCTATTATTCTAGGAAAACAGTGTCTTTTTTTTACATATATGAGGCTCATGAAAGTCAAACAAACAGTATTTTGAGGTCTTGATAGCAGTGATAGCTATCTTTGGTTTTGTGGGTTTTTTCCTCTCCTTTGAGCGAATGTCTATTTATTTTATTGTTTCTTTGGGCAGAGTGCAATTTACGGACTCTGAACAGAGTGCTACATGATGAAATCCTCAATAAACCCATGGAGACTCTTAAACTTGCTATTCCTTCAGGAATTTATACACTTCAGAATAACTTGCTCTATGTAGCATTGTCAAACCTAGATGCAGCCACATACCAGGTATTGTACATTTGGATTTCTCTGTAAGTTTCAAAATACCACGAGTTACATGATAGTAACTGTTTCTGGGTTCTTCTAGGTTACATATCAACTGAAAATTCTTACCACAGCGTTGTTTTCTGTGTCCATGTTGAGCAAGAAATTGGGTGTATACCAATGGCTTTCATTAGTAATACTGATGACAGGAGTGGCATTTGTGCAGGTAAATTTTAACAGGTGGTATGTGTTTATTTAATGTGTTTATTCAAGGAACTTACATTTCCATAGTGGTTATACAGCATTCTGATTCTACAGCTGCACATGAGTAGTGTCGGGAACTATGAATCACAACTGGGCAGGGCTAGATGACACCAGAAATGGTTCAAATGCAGAAGATAACACCTCTCTCGTGTCCCTGTGCTCTACTATAGAATGTAAAAGGGCCTCTGGAGCAACCTGCAAATAACAGTGATAGCAGTACTTATTAGCACACTTCTTCAGACGTTAGGAATTCACGGATCTTCTGTACAGCACAGTTCTGCTGCTCACTTTATGATATGGTTTCAGCATGGCAAATTTACTTGAATTTTTTCAAGAGGCAAACTTGGCCTCTCTTCTAAATAGTGTAGGCACAGTAGCTTGTAGTTTTCAGTGGGCAGGATCATGGGATAAGAGAATATTCTAGGAATTTTAGCAGATTTTAGTGTATCTTGAAATCTTTATTTTATTCACATTTAAAAATGTGAAACAACTCTGAGGATTAAATTTTATTTGAGTTTTCAAATTTAATAAATAAAATGAGAACAAAACATTTGGATAATTAACAGACTCTTCAGTGTGTTTTTGTCTAGGGCATTGCATTTTATTCTGTTAGCATTAGATATATTGCAGGATTTAGCTTAGTAAATTTCAGCTTGTGTTAGTCCTCTGCATGATCACTGAAGAGGGGCACATGCAAAAGGCAGTTAATCCCATCTTAAAGGCAGCTGGTGTAAGGGGTTTTCTAAGTGTGCTTATATTTGTAAAATAACTAACTGTTGGGTGGCAAGAGTTGGTGACTGAATGACCATAAGTCATGCTGGGATAGAGAAGCAGTTACAGCTTAGAAAAAATTCTGTACCTGTTTAAATTGGTGGGTATTCTCCCAGTTCAGGCACAACTTTACTCCTTACAAATATGTAGAAAGAAAAATTTAGGCTTTTCAGTCCTTTAAAAGTATTTATGGTGCAAAATACAGAACTTTACAAGCATGTGATTGTCTGCATTTAGTAACAGTTATTGTTGCTAGAAAACAAATTTACATTTTAAAGATGGTCATGACTTGATTTTTATCAGTGAATTTCGTATAACTGTTTTTATATCCAGTGGCCTTCAGACTCTCAAGCAACAGCAGCTAAGGAACATTCGGCAGGATCGCAATTTGTAGGCCTGATGGCAGTTCTTATAGCGTGCTTTTCTAGTGGATTTGCTGGGGTTTATTTTGAGAAAATTTTAAAGGAAACTAAGCAGTCTGTGTGGATCAGAAACATTCAGCTTGGTAAGTTTAATTTTAGTCATCTCCTAGAGATACTGGATTTTGAAGAATTAAGATAAATATGTAAAAAATATAAAAATAAAAAATATCACCAACAATTTACTGTTCTGCATAAATGTACTTCTAAAACCAAAGGTATAGACTCTGCTAGATAGAATTCTGGTGGTTGCTTTCTGATCTCAACCTAGTTCTTGATTTAATTATAAAGTGTCTGTAAGTTTGCATAGAATCTGCCACTTGAATTTGTATTTAAAATTTTCTAAAGAATGTTGTTATCTTATGCAGGATTCTTTTTGCAGTAGGCTACTGAAGTAGTTCTGGGTCTTCTAGACCTTGGATATTAAAATGGTCCTAGAGCTGATCCATTTTCCTGAATGAGTTTTCTCTCACCTCAAAGCAATCTTTCCCGTGTTTATAAGGTTGGAAATATGACTTAAGCAATATCCTTTTGTTTCTTTAGCAGGGCCTGTTCTAATAGGACAAGGGGTAATGATTTTAAACTAAAAGAAGGTAGATTTAGTCCAGATACAAGGAAGAAATTCTTTACTGTGAGGGTAGTGAAACACTGACACAGGTTGCCCAGAGAGGTGGTAGATGCCCTATCCAAGGTCAGTTTGGATGGGGCTCTGAGCAACCCAACCTAGATGAAGATGTCCCTGCTGATGGCAGGGGTATTGCAATGTGTGTGATAATAATGAAAATTGAATAACCTGATTTTTTTTGTATTTATTTTTTCAGTGAGCTGAATTTCCCTCAATATGAAATTCAGTAGAATTTGTTTATTATTAAGGTTGTTTTCAGTTCAAAAATGAAATTAATGTTGTCATATTTCATAGAGAGTTTCCTGATACAGCTTTTAGAAAATATATAAAACGTGAAACCACAATTTCAAAAATATGTTAGTGTATCCCTTCTGCAAGTGCAAGATAGTTGCCCACAGAAGACATTGTATCTTTCAGGCGCAAATTGGTCATAAGGAAGAGCTTTGACAAAGAGCTTTTATTAAAACACAAATAACAAAAACTGTGTGTCCAACCTGGTTGGCATTTTTATATCTGAAGAGAATTATTAGCACTATAGAAAAAATTGAAAAAGATATTTGAAGAATTTTTGAAAAATGATATGATATGATACCAGTATCATATTAGGGATGTGTGAATAGTTGATTTTATTTATTTGTTTTAGGAAATCAATTGGAAAATTGGAGTAATTAGTTTAATCTAAATGAAACCTACATTTTAAGTTATGTCTACAAAAATAATTATTTCTTGTCACGTGGAAGGTTTTATTTTGGTCAAAACAATGCCGCCCTTTTCAGATGCAAAGAAATGTGGTGAAAATAGAGATCAACTTTTCACAGAAATGGAATGGAAAAAATGTTCCCCTTTCCTGCTCAGGACTAGAGCATATGTCAGTCACAGAGAAGGAGTTTACACTACTTCCATGCCTGGGGGGACCTGGAAAATTTTCCACCTGATAGAAGAACACTATTCTCATCAAATTATAAACTTTTTAATCTCATCTCATTTTCTTCTTTTGACATTGTGTCTCTACTAATAAACATTCATTGTGTTTGAGACTGGTTCAGAAGAACCCCACTTCCAAGATCCTTGTATAAATTGTCAAACTGACAGGTCCTGCTCTTGCTGAGTCAGTGACCATCTCCTCCACTGAAAGTTCTCCTTGTTTTTCTCTCCAGGTTATAGTGTGACTTCAGACTTCAGTTATGAGTAGTTTCAGGAAAACTGAAACTGTGTTTAAGTGAATTTTGCTATACGCCATCCCATTCCAGTAGAAAGCAATCACCCCATTCCTGTAGAAAGCAGTGGAAGATAAGTATATAAGAATGTCCTAATGGAAATAGACAAAACTTGTTGTAAGTGTAGAAAATAGCTTTTAAAAGAGAATTTCTGTCTGAAACTGATTGCATTTGAATGTATTTTTTAAATTAGATATATGTGAGCAGTCCTTGAGGACAAGGAACCTGTTTACATGGTTTTTGATTTAAAGCTTTTAAATCAATCTTGTACTTTCAGGATTTTTTGGTAGCATATTTGGAATGATGGGTGTATACATTTATGATGGAGAACAACTGTCAAAGAATGGATTTTTTCAAGGATACAATAAACTTACTTGGATAGTTGTTGTTCTACAGGTGAGATAACCTTGCATCCCATGTTTTTGTGAAGGTGCTTGGGATTTACTTTTCTATAAATGACTGGGAAAATTAATGGGTGTCATTGAAGCCATTGAGAATTCTATCGTCAATATTAGAATAAACCTCTAAATAAAAACCTGGAAAATATATAGCAAGTATATGACTAAGTATTGTGAAACATAAAAGCATGTATGCATTATTTCTTTTTCAATCTTTAAAAAAAATAATATATGTACTCTTTGTCCTGTGGCTAAAAATGTATAGTACAAGCATTGCCATTAATTTAAAGATGGTAATACAATCAACAATTTACTTAATGGGGAAAGAAGGACTCCTCAAATATTTATCTTCAACAGTACATATCCATAACATAAAATAAATGTAATGCTCCTAAACATAGGCAAAAGCTTTTCCTAAAGTAAGCGGGTGTTGTTACAATATGTGCTCTCAGTGGAATTGTCAGGCTGCAAATCTGAACCTCAATATTTTTTCAGGCACTTGGAGGGCTGGTGATTGCTGCTGTTATCAAATATGCAGACAACATTTTAAAGGGATTTGCAACTTCCCTCTCTATTATACTGTCAACGTTGATCTCCTATTTCTGGCTGCAAGATTTTGTCCCTACAAGGTAAGAAGTATTTTCCATGTATGCTGAGGGAAAAAAAACCAAAACTTAATAAGGTTAAAACTTAATGCTTACCAGATATAACTGCAAAAATTAATAAGAAAACAGGCCAAGCCATGCTTTTAGAATATTTAGATTTCATAGCATAAGGTAACTAGTATTTAATTTGTCAGTATAGTTGGCAAGATTAAATTTTCTGTAAGATACAGCTCACCGCAGGTCAGGAATAATTGAATCTCAATTCTTGGCTTTTGCCAAAGCACTCTCTTGCAGGCTCTGTGGGTTTAGTTCGCTGTCCTTTTCTCTTCTTTTCCTCCCTCCCTGATCTCCCTCAGTTTTGTTCAGCTCCTACTTTGCTTTTGTGCTGAAGCTCTTTAGTTTTGTCGCTTGCCTTGCACTGCCTTGGCTCTGCTCCTGGAACCAGTCCCCCCCTGCTGGCTGCTCTGAGTAAGATCGTGACAAAGGGGGTGCCTGTCTCTTGTTTCCTCTTTGTCCTCTAAGTGGACAGATCTTCCACAAGTCATCTCATCTCATAACAAGAGGAGTTATGGCCAAACAATTATAATGATGATAATCGTTTTATTTGGTTTTCATCCAATCTCAAAACAGTCTGAGATAATTGCAGTCACACACACATGGAAGTTACACTACAGCAATTAGTTGCCCAAGGACACCTGGAAGCCCAAAGGCAGAGCTTTTTTCTAGGACAATATTTATTAGTGAAAACACTTAACCAAGACAGAAAAATGCTTGCTATGTGCTTCTAGGCCCAATACACCCTGTCCTTATGTTTTGTGAATCAGATTTTAGTAGTTCTGTGCACTGCAGGTTTTGTACTTGGGTAGGTTCCAGAATACTGCTTGTCTTGGCAATGCATGCAATATATGGTGTGTAGAAGTAATATTCCAACTTTCAGATATGTTAATAGGATTTTGCTTATAATTAACCTCACGTATGTTACACGTACTCAAAGTGTAAAAATATTTTGAATAATACTTACAACTTTTGTATCTGATACAAAGGAACATCTTCTTATCTAAAAGTATTAGTTGCAATATTAGAAGGGGTTTACTTTAAACATTCAAAACAGGACGTAGAACAAGGCTTAAAAAGTGGAAGACACTGAACTTAAATTATAAGTAGCCTATACTTGTCCTCTCAAAACAAATAGAAAGTAGTTTAAGAATTCCTCTGTGCTGAAATGGAAAATTAATAAGTAACTTATCAGCTTCTGCAAACATGATGAAAATGGAAACAGAGGTAAATGATTAAATGTGATGGAGCCAGCTAGCAGCATGTAGCACTTGAAGCAATCTAATTTAATAAAACTTGATTAACTTGAGTTAATCAAACTTAATCTTTAGTACCTTGCTTATGCCAGCTGAATGTATTTGGACTAAAACTATGATTGTTTCTGTCATGGTTCAACAAGTATTTTTGATTGGTATAATAGATGTAAAGTACATAAGTGCTTGAATGTGTTGCAATGGATCATGTCCAGAAACAGGCTAACTCTGTTCTCTGAAGGATTATCATATCATGTGCCACAGTTTTTTTAGCATTTGGTTCAGAAGATCAAATTTTCAACATTGTCATGTCTTTATGACAAGTTTCTTTTCTAAAATGTGTACTGATTGTCTGTTGGCTTTGCATATTTTGTTTTCAGACTTGTAACTATCAAAACAACTTGAAAGGCCCATATGTCATAATACAAAAGATGCCTTTATTATCTTTTCCTTACATAAATCTTTATGTATCTGCCAAAAATTAGATTATACTGACTTGCAAACTGGTTCTTGGGCAGCAGTAATTTGTTTTGACGCAAGCTTTGGACTTCAAAGCAAACACAACTCCCAACAACATGATGTATGTAAGATGTTAACAGTGGCTGGGTAACCATGGTAGTTGCACTTCTTTAGCTTCTTCTTGAGTTTTGCACAGAGCTTTAGGCAAAAGAAAAACAAAACAGAAAACCAATTGGTCTGATTACTTTTGACAATTGTTCCACAAAACTACAATTTTCATTTTCAGAATATGTTAGTGTAATGACACATTACTTTGTGATGTAAGTTTCTTATTTCAACTTCTTCCTACATTCTTTATAATAAGTATATGTGAATTATTTTGTTCTTTATAAATGGGACAAATATAAGTTATCTTTCTTTATCCACAGAGGGAAAGTGTCCTTTCTTTTAATTGTATTATGTAAATAAAATTGCATCAACTAAATGAGCTAATTTTTTTTTTTTCATCCTTATTCTATTCAGTGTCTTTTTCTTCGGAGCCGTCCTTGTAATAGCAGCTACTTTCCTATATGGTTATGATCCCAAACCTGCAGGAAATCCCATTAAGGCATAGCAGACTTCCTCATCAGCCTGCTTCTCAAGATCGTGCATTGCGGGTCTTGCTAACAGTGGCACGTGGACAGTGTCATTTTGCACTGCACGGAAAGGATTGCTACCCTGAATCTATTGAAGAAATGCTTATGAGTAGTTTTGAACAGCCAGAGGGCTTAAAGGTGGATGATGATACTGTCTGTAACTGATGGAAAAAAAAAAAAATGGCAGGGGAATGCCCAGTGCAACTTGCTAATAAAAACTTGAAAGGAACAAAAAGTTTCCAAGAAACTGCAATTAAGAATGTTTACAGCTTTGACTGGGATTGCATCAAAAGAATTTACTGTATTGACTGCTGCAGAAATATGTCCTATGCACTCTTCGAAAGAGCACATGACAATATTGTCAGATTGTATGTTTTTGCAATTTGACTATACTTAATCTTAGTAAATGTTTTTAACTATTTGTCTATTTACATGAAATCAGCTGAATACACATCATAGTTCTAAAGTGATGGTTCTAATTAGGTATTCCTTATTAAAACTGTGAAGATTGAAGTATGATTGAAAGACACTCTCACAATATCCAATATTTTTATATTTCTAGAAGCCTGATTTAATAACAGAAATCCGTTATTAAATCCTAATATTATAATTCTGTTGCTTATATAAAACTATTGTAAGAATGTTAATATTCTCATCCCTAAGTACAGAAAGGGAGAAATTCAGAGGGAAATATTTGTTGATACCCCGGCCTTCGTCAGGACAGGCTGTGGTGTTCCAACAGATGCAATGGCTCCGTGAGCACAGGCTGGAGGTTACTGCACTGACCTGGCATTAAGAGTAGGGTTACGATGCAGTGCTCGCTCACATGTAATGTTAGTTCTTTTTATTTTTATTGATTAAAAAACAGCTTTTGGGCAGAACCTTTAAAGTAGTTTTTATGCTTTAAATATCCTCTGGGGAATTTTTTAACCACAGTTTAAAAAAAAAAAAAGCCCATAATAAACATTTTAAATGCATTGTTGTCTGTAACAGTTCCATCTGGAGCTATTATGGTATATCATCTGTATACTGTACTGTATTTTATTACAGAGGTGTTTTTTAAACAAGTGTTGTTTACTCATAAATTCTCCAAGACTTTTTCAGTACATTTCTATGTAATGGCTTAATTAGAGGTTGGTGGGTTTTTTTAATTATTATTTTGTTCTGGGAGTCCTTGAACCAACAAACCAAAATGGGTTCTCTGGAGCTATTCAGTCTAGTAGAGGAATTACTTTAATAGGAAACATAATGAAAAAGTAATTAATTGTGCAATAGGTAAATATAAAAGCACGCTGTTCTGTTTTAAACCAAAAAAAAAACCTTCACAAGCCTAGATGCAATTAGAACTTAGATCAATTGGACTGTTACGAACACTTCACTTGTTGAAGTATTTGCATATAGCCAGAAACACGAAAAAGCTGTCTTAAATATCACTTGTTTTCAGGAGACCTATTCACAATGGATATTAATGCAGAGTGCTACGCTTGTAAAGGTATATATATTTATACAAAACTATATCAATAGTCCCTTACCTGCAGAATGACAAGTGGTAAAAATGTATGATTTCGTTTATTTCCTCCCTTCACGCTCTTTCTCTCTTCTGTCTTCTGCTAATGAACATGTTGTGAGAGAGGTGTTTTAAAATGTTTACCAAAGTACCTCATCCTCTTTTCCACATTGTAGCGGTGGATTAACAAGGAGATTCTGTAAGAGTGTTCCTAAGATTTTTTTTTTTTTTTTAATGAAGTATTGTAAATGGGAAAGGAAAAATTTTGCTTACGTCAGCCAAGTAAAAATAGTGTTTTTCTTCTGTTGGTAATGACATGGATTATCAACTTTTTGTTTGTTTATCGTATCAGAGCAAGACATTAATTTCAGAGTTATGCCAAGGGCTTGCTAAGCTTTGTGAACTGTGAATTTATCCCAGCATGCCATCATTGCAGGAGCTTTGCTACTTGGTAGTGAAAACTATCTCGTGTTGCCCTAAATTGGCATTCTATGTTAATATTAAACCTTTTACCTATAACACTCAATGTGGCAAAATCTTTGAAAAATTACATTGAGTAATTTCGCCACTGAAATACAAGAAGAGGGAAGATGCGTAGAGTAGCGGCTTGCGGTATTGCTTGCTGTAGAAAGGGAGGAGCCTAACTCTGAAACCATCTGAGAAGTGCTGGTAGTAATACCTGAATTGAGTTTTGACTTTTAATTCCAGGAATCACAGTCATGGAAATCAGTCAATTCCTTGAGGAATTTCTCTAAAAAACGTAAGAAGCAGGTTGAGAACACTTCAAAGACAGTTACACAGGAAGGGACCGAATAATCACCGTGTTGCTGGAGTTCTGTTACGTACAACCCAGTTTTAATACTTCAGGTGCATCCGTCAATATTTGTAAGTAAGCATCAGTTTAAAAGAAAAGAACAGGAATAGGTGCTCTTTGCTTTTGAATAGGGTGCCATACAGGTTTGGAAAACAACATATCTACTGTACTTAGGAATAGTAAGTCCTGTCAGTAGATCAGTGACTCTTCCATGCTTCCAGTTGACAGTTCCATTACATTTTCCAGTAGAGGGAGGGATCTCTGCATACACTTTTTGCTGCAAAGGAAATAGCAGTCTGCATTTTGAGCTGCCTTTCCTTGGCCCTTCACAGACTGAGGAAGGATTCTCCCCTGAGGCCCTCCAGGTTGAAAGGAATTATTCTAGACAGAGGGAAGATAGCTATGTTTCTTAAGAACAGAAAGGTTTTGAGGTGGGTTTGCTGATTTCTGTAACCTTCGCAAACTGAGAGCATATGCATATTTTCTCACTGAGATACTTTTCTATCTGGATTTTAAAATTTAAAAAAAATCAACAAAAAACCAATTTAAGTCTGTAACTCATTAACTAACCAAAGAAGCACAGCTAGCACAGAGCATTGGGAAGTAGGGGATAGTGTGCTTTGAGTTTGCCCTAAAAGCAATCTGTAGGAGTCTAACTTTCCAAAAAGAAACCTGTTTATCTGAGCTATTTTTCTGACTTGTAGACAATGGATTTGTTACTTCAGTTGTATATTTAGGAGGCTAACCTATACTTAGCAGAATTTTATTTAAGTATTTATAAAGTTATAGCTAGGTATTTATTTGCAATAACTTGAATTATGGATTTTTTGTTTCAAGACTTGCATAGTGGGAGTACTAGTATTTATTGAATACTTGGATATTTAGTAGTTTTATTTGAGAATCTCTGGGATACATGATAAATGGTCAAATAACAATAAATGTAGAACTATCTTGAGAGCAAAATAAATCAGCAGTTCAGTGGTGAAAAATCTTGAGTCTAATAAAGTAAGATAAACTTTTCTTTATACATTGTATTTCTGTGCTAGCCACAAGTGCCCAATAATATTTTTTTCTCAAAGAATTCAAATAATTTTATAGTTCTATTTACCTTCTTTGTTTTAGACAAACTATAAGAAAATTTCCTTTTTTTTTTTTAGTTTTACTAATGGGTAGATTAATATTCTAGATCCAGTTTCTACAAGATAATACTTTGGGGGTTTTACTGTAATTTTTTAGAAACTATTGTTTTTCCTTTAAAAAAGGATCTTATTTTGGTAGCATATACTTGTGTTTCAGTTACTCATACATTTCTTCCACAGATTTTTAGGCGTATATAATTGTTTTGTGTTCCTAACTTATTTTTATGGCTGTAATTCAAAAGACTGTAATTGATTTTGTTAAATTATTTTAAAATTGATAAGTGAAATGTTGCATTTCTTCTGGTTTTCATTGTCAGTAACTTTCATATTTTAATATATTTCCTTATTAGCTGTGCATGTTCTGTTGTATTTTAGCAATTGGCGTTTTCCAAATTTGAAGCTGTCACTCATTTTCCTCTTGTTGAGCGTGTTTCTTGCTGGATATTGTGAATGAGGAAGGTTATTTGTTGTTTTCTTCTCTGAAATCCATGTTTTGTAAGAATGAGATATTAAAAAACATTGAGGGTTTTTGTGTATTAGAATGGTAATGTTTATTTATAACATGATATTATACCATATATGTGGTAGTGTATCATTACCTTTGGTGTTCAGTTAATGTAAGATCATCCACGAAGTGTTTTCTTCCCTTGTTTTCATTGTTCTGTTCATTTTTAATGCTGATTATTTTCCACAGGAAGTTACTAAAGAGTTTCTACTCTTTCCAGGTAAGCTCACTATATGTTTTTAAGTATCTAGAATTAAGATATTTTTACTGGAAAAAACGCAGAGGAAAATGTAACAAAATAAGTGGGATTAATTAGATGATATCTTCTGCTTATATCAGAGATGAAATCTCTGCTCTGAAATACAAATTTCTGTTCAGTTGAATTCATAACTTTTTCAAATTATTTCCTGCTGGGTGAATTTATAACTCTTTCTGGAAGCAAAAAAACCCCAACTGTCCTGAGGTGCTATTCAGTCCTCATTCTTGAATGTCTCTTTGCACATTTGCATCCAAGAGTAGACATGACATTTTTAACTCTTGCTTTCAACCTTCTGTCATTGTTCTGACTGTAATTAGCCTTATTAATTTCATTAGCAATTTATAGCTCAGTAAAAATTGCTTAGATGCTAAGCATATGTTTATAATTGCTGCCATGAGGAACACTTTTTTAGATTTTCAAAAGTTCGTCTTTATTGTCAATATATTTTTAAATTTAATTTTAAATATATGAACCCAAATAGAAATCATATATTCAAACATTGTAGCAAAACTTTTAAGGTAATCTTAGGATTTTTTATATGTTGATGTCAGTAGTTGTTTCTGATTACGCTGAATGCAATTCCAGTATATGTTGTTTCCAGGCAGTTTGGAAACAGGTTATTTTTTTGGTATAACACTGCTGAACCATGGAATGCATCTTACATGATGTAATATAGTCTTTTTTTAATCTGTATTGGGGTAAAATACTGTATTTTTTTCTCCTGTATTTGTGGATAACATCACTAGAGTAATAAACTGGTTAAAATTAAGCACTGTCTTTATTAAGAATACGATGTAAAACTGAGAGCTTTGTAAATAGAGAGGCTTGCCTTATGCATATTTTAGCAGAAATAAAACAATGCTTTAATTAACATATTTTTTTTCAGAATATAATTTTTGGCATAATTTTCTATAAACTACAGAAGTCTGATGTAAGATGTTTCTTAGTGGTATCTTTTAACATACAGCTTACTGAATTTTGCCAGAAATTTAATTTTGACTGAGACATGCTTCTTTTTGACCACTGTATGATGACTTCTTGTGAATCGCATTACACTGTTGCTGTGACTGTCTGTCCCTGCACTCTGCTGGTCTGAAAACCCTGAGCTTGTTCAGGACTACGCTTCCTGAACTGGAGGTGGTAGAGAGCATCTGGGTATCAAGTACCAAGTTACAGTATGGTGTGTGATTGTAACACTGTAATCCTTTGTAGAAGAGATTTGCCAGAAGTTACCAGGCGGCATCCGGTGATTTGGTGGTAGCAATATTTGGCGATAATGACATCAGTAACAGGGGTTGGTCTAATGTTAAGGTGTGGATGGAAAAACAGCTGTTTAATCAGCCTAGTTACAAAATTTCTTTGCTGAGATGTAGTTCTATTAACTATTTACATGAGTTCCTTATGTGTCCTGTACGTGTCTGTGTGTGACACTCCCGTCAAAACATAACAGTGCTTTTTTCAAGGAGTAGACTTGAAACCACAGTGAAATTTTAGGACCCCTCACCTTTTCTAATAGGAGAGGTGAGAAACCCTGGAATGTAGTGCAATGGTCACATGTTTGGCTTAACATCTTAAGGCTTGTAACAAATGACTGTTAATGGCAGTGGCTGCAGACATCCTTCTGGCCCTGTGGGTAGCCCAGTAGATCCACACTTTGTGTCATGATCTAGAGTCTCCATTGCCTTTGTCTCGCTGTGAGACCAGAGCAGATCCGCTGGCCTGAGGAGAGACGCACCTCATGATATTCTAAATTCCTTAAAAGCTGCATTATGATAAGATCATAAGAGGGTGCTTGGCCTTAAGGCTAATAGTTTAACTTAAGGTCACCTGATCTTATGCGGTGATTTACACCCTGTTGTTGCCATAGTGCTGGAAGGGAGCTGGAGTGCAGGGCTGTAGGCTAGGGCTGAGGTTCAGTGCAGCAGCCACTGGTACGGAGAAAGAGGGTGTTAATGGGCAGCTGAGGTTGGGGGAAACAGGGATGTCACAGGAGCTGGGGACAGAGGGGTATGCTGTAAGAGGGCTGGAAGATGGAGGACCGAGTGAAGAAGAACATGGAGAAAAGACTGGTGTGTGGATATGGCCATGGAGAGCTGTGTTTGAGATGGTGAACGTCGTATACTGGACGTGGACAGATGTTGCTCCATTTAGTGCTGCCAGACATCAGTGGTGAAGGAATTTAAAAATAAAAATATTAATAAAAATAAGTATGAAAATAAATAAAAATAAGTATGAAAAAAATTAATAGTAATAGTACGCATTTCTAAAATATTTTCTCCGCTAACACAGGGAGAGCCAGTCGCTGGTGTCTCACTGCCTGGGGGCCGTGTCCTAAGTCAGAGCCTGAAGCAGCCCGCACAGTTGAAGTTGTTAGAGCTGCCCCGAGCCAAGTTTGAAATGTGAGTGTAGGAGCGCGGAATGCCCCCGAGTTGGGTGGTGAGGATGGATTCTACCTGTGCTTATGTGCTTTGGCTCCAGAACTGTCTTTCTAGCAAGTGTATCCCCTAAGAAATGCCTCTTTTGCTCCTTTTTCCAGGCCGGCTCGGGGCGGGAGGAGGCGGCCGGTGTCCATGCCGTGGGCTCGGCTGGGAGGGGGCAGCCCGGAGGCCTGGCGCTGGCGGAGGTACGCGGGGCGGCGGCGGGGTACACAAGCCAAGTCCCGCCGGAGCACGGCCGTGGCTCGGGGAGCAGCAGCACGGGACGGGGGGGCTCCCTCTCCCGCGGGCACAGCCGCGCCCGGTGCTCTGGCAGCACCTTTTTAATTCCATTTTTCCAATGTATGTACTTTTTCCCGAGGCTGGCCGTTAACTCGCCGACAGGCACCGAGGCGCAGCCCGGCGGCCGCAGGCCTCGGCGCGGCTGGCGCGCGGCGGGGGCCGGGCCGGGCGGTGCGTGCTGCGCACGTGACCAGCCCCCGGCCAATGGGGCGATCGCGTGATGCGCGGCGGCGGCTGCGCGCGGAGGG